AGAATCAATTCAGAATGTATTTTAAGTTTATGAGTGTTCATTTTCTTCTACTAGCAATTCCCAGTCACTAGTCTCAAGCAAGATATCCTGACATTTTTAATCATACAAACACCATAATTTTGAAATAGCTATAGGCTTCTTCTTTTTGTTGCTTAAGATTCAACAGAGGATACATCATAAATGAGGCTTTAAGAAAAAACAATTGTATTATTCTACCTAGCTGGGACAATGACTGCCACCATGAAAATAAAATTACTGCCATTAAATCGAGAACTTAATTAGAATCACAGCAACAGGTTCATTTTCTGCTGGGGACTTGGTCTACTGGCATGGCATAGAATGATTCACCCCAGAGTACCTATCAGGGCTGAGCCAAGTCTGTAGTCTTTGAATTCTTCTGATATTGAAGCTGCCTGGAAGAAGCTTGGTAGTTGCAGAAGGTTCACGGGCACTGCTTCGGGTAGCTAGAGATGGGCTAGCAACTCCCACCGAGAGAACTCTGGCTTATGCCCACGTATGGAGGCAGAAAGAATCAGACTCTAATTTTCTTCCATAATCCAAGCAGACACAGAGCCTCCAAATGACTGGATCAGACACAAAGATACAATCTTTGCTTTTCCCCCCCTTTTTCATTATAGAGTGCCCTCTATCCCCAAACTCTGATAGCAAAGATCAATGCAATACCAAATGGAGAGGACTATGATCCGCCTACAATCAGTTTCTGTAATAGAGAGAGAATAAATCTCCCTGGCTGACTTACCGAGACATTAGCTGCATTTGCCAGTAGTTGTGAGATACTCTGTAGTTATTCTGGAAATCCTCTTTCATACAGAGGCTGGAAATCCCCTGTGCACGTCATCATTGAACCTGTCTGCCAACCTCAATGTCACCTTCCTACCGTCTATCTCCTCGCCCTGCAGCTGGTTCAGCAACAGAAAAGGTGCATAATTATTTCATAAACACCCCTCAGTGAGCTCACTCAGCCTGGGAAAAGAGTGTGAAAGACTGAAGTCCTGATCTTGTACATACTTGAGAATGCCACGACGTGACGATTCGCTCCAAACAAGAACTTCACCAACCAGACAACTTTTCATTATAAGAGGATGAGAATAAAAGAGATGATGAGTAAGAGGATATATCTTATATATCCTGATATATCAGGATATATCTAGACCTTATATATCTGATATATCACGGCAAGAAGTGCCAGGATAAGAATCCAGGAACCATGAGTGCCATTTTGTCTGACCTGAAAGGAGTCATTTACTCTTTCTCCATTTGTTTTCTTATCTATGAGGTAGCAGCACTAGTACTTATTTTACGTGTCTTTTAGAAGCAAATAATGTATTGAATGAACTTTGAAATTATATGAGTCAGTGCAAAATATGCTCCCATATCTGTAATTTTAAGTTTTTAATGACAATTTAGGCATATGCATGCTGTTAGAAGAACAACAGCTTTACCAATACAATGAAAATCACTATTTGAGTTTATAAAGCCTATGTTTATTGAGAAAATCTGCCTCAGACTAGGACAATAAAGTTATCAAACATCTACACACACACACACAGCACTAACTGGTTGCCAAACTTAAAATGAGTGTCAGTTTGCTGAGATCTCAAACAGCCCCAAAAAATTAAGACGAAAGATCTTTCTCCATAAATACAATCACCTGAAACAACTCATTCCCTACCAGCAGGAAAAGCTCAGCAGCAACATCAGTATTTCTTCTTCCAGGAGCATGAGATTTCTCAGAAATAAACTCATCTTCAGAGGAGATTACTAACATCTCAAAACACTGTCCGCAACCCACAATATCACCCCACCTCTCTACCAGTAGAACTAATACTTCAGCAAAGAGAAATTAAAAGAAGAAAAACAGAAAGAACCTTGTTAAGACAAGTTACAACACCTGCAGGACACTTCAGTAACACAACAATTAGCATCACAAAATCTAGCTGAAAAATGAATAGATACTGTGCTTTTACAACAGATGGATACACGATGGGTTAAATAGAATGTGAAAAGCTGTAATTTCTAAATGAAGGCATTTTCTGAAATGTCAAAATGACTCATCAGTTTGAAATATATTCTGAAAGATTCCCAAAAGAGTCAACCTATTACCGAAGAAAACTGATTAATAAGTCTAGTATCGATCTATTGAAAGTGCATGATGAGTCTGCCTTTCCCTTGGAAATTTCATCCCACACCAAAACACTAGCAATTTCTCAGGATGGTCCACATGGAAATCATTAAGCAAACATAATAAAAAGGGAAAACAAAATGAAGAAAATCTCAAACATTTACTATAAGAGTTTCTCAGTTCACTTCTTTCGCATGACTTAATGCCATGTTCAGAAACAACCCCAACCTGTCCATCCAAGGGAGTGCATTATTCCTCAGAATGACATTGTTAAAGCACTTGTCTGAAATTCCCAGCTATTTAAAGCATCTCCTTGAAGGCACCTACAATAACTTTGCATGGGGAAAAATTAAAATGAACTGATGCAGTAAGTAGATAAGGGTGCAGACTAAGAGAACAAACAACACCTTGGTGTGTCTTAGAATGCAAACGATCACACATGGGAACTTTCTTGTGCTCAAGCTGCTGCTGTATGCAGCACTGAATTTATGCAGAAAAAAAGAGATTGAGACTATCAAGAAAGAGATTCAGGAAAGAAAATAGGAAAGAAAATTCAAGTGAATTATTTCAAGGTATAACAAGTGGATCTCATTCTAACTCTTCTCCACAGGTCTTTGTGTCTCTGCTGAGGAGTTTGGATGGGTCTATCCATCTGTCTATACACACACATGAATAGACATTTTAGAACGCTGGCCAATGGAGCTTTGATGCATTTTGAGATGTTTTCTCTTAAGGTTATTGCAATTTATTGTAGTTGTTGCAATTATAATGAGAAAAGACTCGCAAGACATTCTGCAAACTACGTATGCAGTTTGCATTGAAATGCACCCAAACGTGGGAAGGTGGACATTGCTATTTAACAGCACATTAGGACGCACAGTGATTAAGAATAATTATCCATCTTAAAGTACAAAGCAAAATTAGGAAGACAGAGTGTAATTATGCTAATTGGAATCCAGCCTATGCACTAATACCAACCCTTGGAAATGCAGCTGTGGCTCCTTCACAGGCACAAGTGTTAATTATTGTTTATGTCTCATCCTAAGGACAAACTTCCCCTGGAATACAATGCTAACTAGCAACTCAGTGAACCACCGTGCACAAAAATTGCCCTACAAAGACACTTGCCACATGCTTCACAACCTGGTTCTTCATTAGATATTTCTCCCCAGGATGGTTACTGGGTCTGACACAGATGAAATTATACCTGCCTGCAGAGATAATGTTGTGACCAAGGACAAGGGAGTCATCTTTTGTTTTTCCAAAACATTTTTTAGTTCTCTGTTCTTCACAAGGAAGCCTACCGAAAACGCAGCTGATTGTGGTTTGCTACCACAAACCAGGGCATAAGCAACAAGAGCCCATGTACAAACATAGGTCTGAAATATATTTTGTTTCTGCCTGTGAAACTCAGCCCCCAGCTTTCATTCAATTTATATATAGTTAAACTTATATGACAGTGGTCGCTTCTAACATTGCATTTGTATGCATGCTTTTGATGTGCCATGGACACCAGCCAGTCACTAGCAACTTTATGCAAGAGATCAATCCATTTCCTAATTAGAGATGTGAATTAATGGGAACTGGAATGACCATTTTAAATAAGGCAGGCCCTAGACAATGACTTCTTTACATGCCCTGTGCCCTAGAGCATTTCCTTTGTAATATTTTCAAACTATCCACTCTCATCAATGATTTATGGTGTCTAGGTGCTACTTGGCAGTACTTTCAATGTCAGTGCTGATAAAGGAGAAAACTTTTATTGTATCTTGAACCGTCAACAACTTGCTTCTGAAATTTCAAAAGAGTTCTTGCATTTGACCTTCATATTTACAGAGTCTAAACACCTGCATTTTCACGGAGAATAACGCTTTAGGAGCACTTCACTAATGAGTCACATCAGCTTTACCCATCATCAGAATATGCTTAATTCCATTGGCCTCGCACCATCCTTCTCCAACTGGGTACCGAACCTCATTGTGACAGCTCAATTAGTTCTGCTGGCAACATTAATGAGATTACGATTATGTGAGAAACGCACCTAGCAAATATGAATTCTTACGCAGCCCTCTAGTTAAAAGGAATATTGCAACTTTAATAGAAGGAGGCATCAAAAAAGAATTTACCCACACAAAGAAATTTTACAATTATGTTTAAATTTAATATAACATGATAAAGAGAAGAGCTGGAGTAAAAGCCTGTCACCGCTTCTCACACAATATTATTTATGGCTCTGTGTAGGACCAACACCACAACATTAGCGGTCAGAAATCTTAATACCTTCTGACACAACTGGGTTGGTCCATCTATTATCACCCACAAATCCTTCAAAAACAAATACTGGTTCAAATAATTATGCTGTTCAACATATTAACTTCCAAGACACCAACGAGAGGAACTGCAGTGATGAAATGACTTGTTTTAGGGAAGATCGGTTAAAAAGAATTATTTGTATCCTGGGCTTCAAATCAAATGCCTTTAATATTAGGATCACACTTTCCACTGAATAAATGTCAGAGAAATAAACTTGATAGAACAATATATTTTCCATGCTCTAAAATTATGAATTTTAAAAAGGACTGAGAACACGAAACTACAAAGTCTTTAACCTCAGGGGAATAAATTCAAATACCAACCAGGTCAGTAATAATCTAATGTCAACTGTTACCATAAAAAATGGACAATGATAAATAATGAAGTATCAAGCTGCCAGGTAGGTATTTAGTGGGACCTGTGAGGATCTGTGTTATTCTTACTTACTGTGTATCTTGATTAGAATTTTAAAGAAAAGGTAATGCTTCTCCCTACCCAACTTCACAATCATTTATAACCCAGAGCATGAGAACTGTCAGCCTACCTCTTAAGATTCTTCCAGGCTGTGTTTTTATTCAGTTTGGGTACTTGCTAGCTTGTTTCCAACATTATTTTCCTGAGAAGAAAAATAAAACAAAGCAGTCAATGAGAAGTGAAGCTTTAGGTTGGTGAGGTTTAGCACGTAACACAGATTTTGCTCATCTAAACGGCAGGTATTTTCTTAATTACATTTTCCTCCTTTCATAATGTTGACAGCTTAAAGAAAAGGAAGTTTTATATAGATCTCTGCTCTGACTGCTTTTCAGCCTACTCCCACTTCTGTAGGACGGATAAATGCCCCTTCTGTTCACAGCTGCATACCTCTCTTATTACTGCTGACTTCTATTGGTGGGGAATATAAAAGAAATATTCACCACGTGTAAATTATTTTATTATGTTGTAGCTAACCAAATGAAAACAAAAAGGCCAACAGCAAGCAGTCCACTCTACAGAAAGCAAAGAAGCACTGGATGTTAAAACATCAGAACAATATGAACTGCTTGTTCCTCTGAGCCTTACACTTCGCATCAATGCAGTCGTTTACCCTTCTGCAAGTGTGCATTCCTCTCCTCACCCTGCCCAAACTGTTTCTTTATAAGAGCAACACACAGGCAGCTCTCTTTCAAGAGAAAGACCGCTTGAGCTGCAAAAACCATGTGCTGCTCTTGATGAAACATGAGAGAAGGCAAGACCTTAAAATCTTAAAATCAAGCAAAGACCTTGGGCAGGCCACCCGAAATCCAGCGTGAGGCGCTTACTGTGGTAAAACACCTCAGCGAATCCTACGTGATAGAGAAAACACTACGCATCCTGCAAGTGAAGTGCATGTATTTATTGATCAATGACTTCCCTAGAAGAAAATACAGGGCTATCAGCTACCTTGTAACCGCAATATTAAAGCAGGATCCAGCAGGCAGAGCACACCAGCTAACTTCACATCACGACGCGCTCCCGGAGCGCCCTGCCTCTGCCTGCTGTTCCCTCGGCCTGGCTGCCTCAGCAGCAACGCCGGCCTCTCCCCCGCCAGATCCCGCTGTCGCGACACCATATCGCAGGCAGAGCACGACAGAGACGGCAGCCGGGAAGCCAGGCCCTTCCCCGGAGCCCCGGCTCCCCCCCCGCTGGGGGCCGGGCCCGCGGCCTCGGCCGGCTGGGAGCAGCGCGGAGCGGGCGGCTGGGGGCCAGCCGCGGGTAAGGAGCTGGGCCCCGGCGGCTCGCTGTGAGGGGGTTTGGTCGTTAAAGGCTGGAGGAAGTGGTTTTGTCCTGGAAAGGAAGGATCGTAAAAAAGATATTCTGTCCGTAACGTGAAGGAAAGGAAGGATCGTAAAAATATACTCGATGTGTGACGTGAGGGAGGCGCCACGCCTGCTGCCGTGGTGTGTTGGGGAGAGGGGGGACGCAGAGGAGCTGCTGGGTTGTGAGTTAGAAGGGGGCTGTTAGTTGTTACGTGGTGGTAACTTCACATTTCTTACGGTAATGTTGTCCCTGAGTAATTTCACGTTTCGGGTGGTAACATAGCTTTTCCCATTTCTGCCCCCTAGGAGGAGATGGAGCTTCTCTCCCTCAGGCTCTCTCCAGACATGCTGCCCTTTTCCTTCCTTTTCCTCACCTGAAGCCCCCCGCTGCCGGGCTGTGGCCGGGGGCTGCTGGAGGAGCAGCTCTCAGAGCCCTCACTGCACCCTGTGAGGTACCGACTGGGCCTCGTGAGGAGTACAAGCTGCAGGACGCCGGGTGCCACTTCGAAGCAGTCTGTAAACGTGTTTTATTTATTATTTACAAGTATATTTACATACTCTAAGTTATCTTTTGTGCTCATTTGGGAGCAAATACCTCATGTTCGCTGTGAAAATGAGCTATCACACATATCTGAAATATTGGTCCCTCGTTACCTGAGCGTCCTCGCCCCACTCCACCTCTCTCCCCCTGCTGCTTGTGCAGCCTCAGCTCCTCAGGCCAGCTGCGGGCTGCAGCACTAATTGCCTCTGTTTGCATTTCCTACTGGTTTTCTCCAGGAGATTTGATCTTATTAACCAGTCTCCAGCCTGTTCAGGGTTGGTACGGTGAATAAAAAGTTGTTTAGTTCTGATGTAACCTGTAAATATTAATAAGCACTATTTTTGACTTTTGGGCACATGTTAAAACAAAAAATTAAGCTTAGGGGCCTAGAAATTTGGCACTACAGATTGCTCTTGGAGTCTAGTCTTGGGAAGGAAGGCCTGAATTTGTGGTAGGGGCTCAGGGTCCTTAGTACACAGATGGACCTCAGCAGTAACATGACACATACAATAGGCAGCATAGCGTGTTCAGTAGAGAAATGGCTAAAGTCAGCACATTTAAAACAAAGTTAATCTAAAAACTGTTAACAAAAACCAAAGCAGAGTGGTATAGGTGAACTTCTGGCATGAGAGAAAGTGTTTTTGTTTACTTACTTGGTTCCCTTTTTTCTGATGGAGGAACCACAGTTGTCAGCACTGCAGGTATCTTTCCAAAGGGATATCACCTGCACATTTATCCTTCTTATCTTATTAGAGTAGAGGAAAAAAAAAAAGGGCAAAATTGTTTAGGACAAAGTTGTTTACCTCCTTAGATTCAAAGGAAGAAGGGAAAGTACATCATTCTAACTTAAAAAAAAGGAGGTGGAGAGCAAAGAAAAACCACACACACAGAGCTTTAAAGTATATTCGCATTACATTATAGCTACCTATCCAAGGCCTGTTTTATTCCTGGAACTTGGTTCTGGCGAGTTTTATTATTTTTTTCATGCTGAGAGCATGACCATCGTTTTGAGAGCCTCATCTGGCTGATACTTGTGTTTTTTTCTAATTTTCTGGACAAAATCTAAGCAGAACAAGGAGGCTTTGCTTTTCTGAGATGTGAGAGGTTTAAGGCAAAAGAAATAATTTCTTTTTAAAGCACCTTTTGTTTTCATAAATGACTTTGTCCAAGTATTACCTGTAATTCACAACGAAGTTGAAAGGAGTGCTGATCAAAATTCATTGTAAATGCTCAGTGGTAATTGTTATTGTAGACTTACCCAGCAGATCTTAATGATGCATCGCTTTAATCAGCAGTAGTGCTTTGGCGGGTGTTGCCTTGATGTAGCACATTAAGTAGTTACTTCAGCCACCTAAACTGGGTTTGAGCTGAGCTGTGATATTCCTCTGTATGCCTGCTATAGCTGTAAGTAATGCAGTCATTTATCCTGTATAACTGAAACTGTTAATGGTTTTATTTTGTTTTAATTTGTAGTGCTGCACCATGGCTACTACCTCAGTGGATAGTTCTGGTAGCTATGAAAAGGGGCAGGTGGAGTTGAGCCAGAGTTCCAGGAGCTCTGTTTTTGACTACTCAGAAGACACCTTTGAGTCCTTCAGCGAGGAGGAAGCAGCCTGCTGCCAGCATGAGAGCAAACCACCTGAACCGTGTTGTTCTGTAGAGGATGTAGAGTCTTCTGCCGTGTCGGATGGGTTGGAAAGCATGTCATATCTGGCAGGCCAAAATCACACAGGTATGCAGAGCTTACTGTGCTTGAGACCTGACTTGCACAGCTTTAGATCTGTGCAGTGGAGATTTGACTTGGCAAAAATAAAAACTTAAAAAATTGCATGCAATGTGCCCACTGTACAAAGCAACAGAACCTCAGTATGCTCAGATCTGTGTCTTGGTTTCTCAGGTTTCACTGATGACTACACATAGGGGGGTTATGAATTGGCCATGAAAACCCTTCCGTAGTAATCTTGTGATGCTTAAATTCTATTGTTATGTTCCAAATTTCTGCAAGATACTATGACTTTATACCCACGTATGAGAAGCATCTGGGCTGTGTAGTAATTCTTCCAAGGGTGTACGTAAGAGGGCTGGATAGCACCTTAAAGCTGCATCGGAGTGATAAAGAAGCAGACAGCAGGAAATAAGCTAACTGTCTCAATGTCTTTCTCGTTTGTTAGTTCTTTTTTCCCTTGTGTCTGTGGGGTTCTGTCATTCTTCTTTCTTTTCTCCAAATCTGGTCTGAGAAATATTGTGAGTACTTGAAGACATGATTTTTAAAAATCTGTTCTTAGTTTAGGAGCTTGTCAGCATGTATAAACAGTATAATTTTTAAAACTAAGGCACTTAATATGTTTTTTAAAAACAGTGTGGACTTGGGATACATAATGTCTGTTAGCTGGCATTGCTGTAATCTGATTCTTTGTCCAACTTGATCAGCTGCTGTATACCGATATATAATTAATTTTGTCTATACTTAAAAATGACAACCTGTTTGTTCTTACTGTAGACAAGCCCAGTAGAGATGTTCTTTCTGTTCCTCACCCAGCCAGAAGAACCTTACTGCTTTACTGCCTTTTTTTTTTTTTTTTAAATCTCTCCCCACCTCTGTAATAATAACCAGCACAATTTTTAGGAGTCCTTTTAAAATAACGTTGAGGCATGAAATCTCAACAATGCAGGCCAAAACTTGTTGTCAAATATAGATACGTGTATGTCATAGCACAGAGTATAGCCTTAGAGATCGGTGCTTCAAAAATCTGAATAAAGAGATTATCATCGCCTTGATGTCTTATTCATGCTACATTTATGTAATTGAGCAGTGTCTAATGGATTAGATTTAACAGTTTGGCTCAGAATTTATAGTTTTTACAAAGACTAGGTATTAATAAACCTTTTTTTTTTTTTCTTGATATATAGCAACTTTTAGAAATTATTCTATGTCTAACCATTAAAATCTATATTGTTGGCATCCAGAAGCATGTGCTAGGAGGAAATCTTGTGTGTATAGAGGTGCTTTTAATAAGTGTTAACACTTATTATCTTTATAAGGTTAATATTTCATAAAATTATGGAGTCTTCTGAATGCTGCTAGTTAAGTGAGGAGACCAGGGAATAATTCACAGGAAATATTTTGGGAAGTTGATATCTCTCTGCAGTATATATCTTACAGAGAGCAGCATATATAAATAATAAGAACTACAGAGGACTTGTCATGTTGGTATCTCCATAGGGACACATTATTTCATTCTGTAAGCCCTCTCAATTTGCTATTAGTATCCTGAAAACAGAGTAGAGAAGTCAGGTGCTTGCTCGATGTGCTCAGTATTTTGAACTGGAACCATGTATCTTCCTGTCAGTGGCACTGGCTTGTCAGACCTCTTAAGTCTTTTCTTCACCCAGATCTTCACTTTCACAACTTTGCTGGATCCTTAGTTACTGCAGAACTGGAGTTGTACTGGAACAAGTTGAAAAAAAGGGAATTTATATAGATTTTCATTCTCCTCCTGCCTTCCCTCCCTATTATTTTTTCACTTGGATCAATACCTTGATAGAGTTCACCAAAGCTCCCGTGAGTACTTGTACTGCCATGAGAGAAGAGCCTGCGTAGGGCTGAAAGTAAGTGATGGGGGGAGTTGATTGAGGTTGTTAGCATTACAGACAAAACAGAATGTGTGAGTCTCTTTTTCTCAGCTCATCCTCTAGTCTTTCAGTGGAGTGACAGAAGCTTGCTCTGTATTTCAGCCTGAAACTCTGATGTCATCTGTAAAGGCCTCGATGGTTTGGGGCTTCTTTTCCCTCACCAGGGAAAACTCAATCAAATTCAAGTGTGATTGCCTCCTGATTTGTTTTTTCTCATTCCTGATTTCTTTACAATGTATGTCCAAAGCTACCTTTTTTTTTTTTTTTTTTTTTCCATTGTAGATGAGCAGTCTGAAGTAGTTGGTTCTGTGGCTGCAGAAAGATACTTCATGAGAAAATGGATGGATGTTCTAAAAAATAAGGAAGCTGTCATTAAGCAAGGCAACTCTGTCCTCAAAACTCATTCTGGTGAGTTCACTAACTTTAGTAGAATTTATAATTCTTATTTCTTTGACAAAGGGGATGTGAATTTTTAACGACTATGATTTTATGTATAAGCTATTAAGTTAAGCCAGGTAATTAACCTGACTTAATTAGCCATGTAATTAAGTATGAAGACTCTCTTTTATGCCTTCTTGGAAAAACAGTTTGTCAACTGCAACACATGGCTTTGCTGCTCCTGATACAGAGATATTATATTAGTGATGCATTACCACAAGGTTTGGATAAATCTACATAAAAATGTATTTACATCTTAAATTTAACTGAAAACCTCAAATTTTACTGGGCTATTTATTTTTTTCTCATTTTTCTCTATAGCTGTACAGGTACTAGGGTTGTGTTTTTTCCTCCAAAATCAACCTGCCTTCAGAATGTGTGAAATGTTTCCCCCCTGTTGATCATTTCTGTTAATTACTGAGTTATGTTTGCCATGTTCTAGTTCCTTTCCCGAGCTGCAGGAGGCAGCAGGGCACCAACTTTGACAAGAACAATGGAGCAGCTTTAACCAACACAATGATGTAGTGCATGGAGGAGGAGAGGGGTTGGGAGGGAAGAAGGATGCTATTCGCGTGCACTGATTATACAAGGAGCTGTGAGAGCAGATGGTGGGATGGAAGTCCTGCTCAAGTCTTTCTGAAAAGTGGGTCAGAGATACTATTTTTAATTAGAAAAAGAGCAAGAAAGCTGTGGTTGAGGAAGATTCCTCTTCTGATTCAATTATTTTTTGCTCATGTTCCTTCATGTGTATGAAAAGTGAAGAAATTCAGAAGTTTTATAGAGCCCTTCTAAGACTAATTAATCAAGTAGGTCCCATTGCCCAGGTGCTTTGTGGCATTGCACTTACATACAAACATCCTGAAACTCCATGTACTGCAGGAGAACATGACCTGAGATTATTTTTAGGCTCTTCTTAATTGCATAGCTCATTCACAACAGTGGTGAGTCAGTGTTATGAGTTCCTGACTCATCTCCAGCATTTATCTTCCTGTTACTGGGTTTCTAAGACTTCACGTAGTCAAGTGAAGAGGCAGCTAAAGTAGATTACCTCATCTGTAGTAGTGAGGCTTCTTCTGACCAGCTCCTCTGCAGTTGTCTTCCTAAAATACGTCTGAATCTTGTGACCATTTGATATGCAGAGAAATTGAAGAGGACCTGATGAATTTGGATTCATTTAATGAATATGAAAGAGCAGTGTAGAGTTAAGGAGGTTTTCCTTCTTTGTAGGGTTTTCTTTGAGAGTTGGTTGGGCAGTCTTCCTCCTGAAATTTGTATTTCTGTACAGCTGTACAAACATTCTGCTGTTGGTTTATGGAATTTGGATGGGAAGAGTCAGACTGGTCATTGAGTCTTGAAAAGCCAGTTCTGTTTCCTTAGCTTATGGTGATGTATGAAATGATGCAATATTTTCTACCTGTACTGTCTCTTGTCATCGTAGCAGCTAAGCACTTTTCAGGCACATCCATTGTTACTGTGCACAGCAACTTTCATATGCTGACATCTATAAATGTCTTCTCTTTGACTGAATAGTTCATCACTCAGTGGACACTGAGCCCCTTATTATTTTATCAGCTTGGAAACTTTTTAAACACAATAGAAGATGAGCTCACCTAGAGCTAGGCTGCTGCACAGTTGGTCCCTTCTGTAAATTTAGCAAAATGAATGGTGCATGCATGTTACTTTTGAATTCATCTGCAGCTAATAAAATAAGAGGGTTTTTACATATCTCACTACTGATACTGTTAAATAAGGAAAAGAAAATCCAGGTTTGCCCATAGGAATGCCCCGGGAAATGATTCTTGTTTTTCATAGTTTTATTTATGGCCTGAAAGAAGAAAAGCCGAGATGTTGACCTCAGGAAAAGTGAGAAATTTTTATCATAATTACTTCTTGGTCTCTTCCTTGGACCTCCACCTCAGTTTTGTAGCAACTAGCTGTTATTAGACAAATGCATCACAGAAAGAAAACAAACCAAAAGACAACAGAAAACACAAACCAAACACACACACACACAACCCCACTATTCTTTGAAATCCCTAACTCCCTGTCAATTATTCCAAAGAGTGCTAGTCATTTTTAAAATGTACTACAGGAAGCCACAGTTGTTCAGCTCAGAGGTAGCTGAAAGTTCAAGTGAGGCTTTTCAGTTCTGAAAAACTTCAGCTCTGATTTTGCTGTATTCAGAACTTCACTCACCTTTGTTTGCAAGGTGTTTGTAAGGTGTGAACAAATTTCTTCATGTCCAAGCATTTAATTATTGGTTCAGCAAATAGTAATTTGCTAAAAGTATGTACTAAAAATAATAGTAGATGTCTTTAAGAATTGAGATATCACTTAAACATTCTGTTTGCAGAAGGGAGCAGGTATCCAGTAGTCTGTGCTGGCTCTTTCTTATTCCTGAGCTTGTCAGCACCTAAACTTACTGCTTGGTAAAATGTACAAGGTGTGGGATTCACGCAGGCTTAGACCCTGTGATTCCAGAGTTCTCTTTTAGTTTGTTTCCTGCCAGTCTACTAGAAAACTTTACTATTCCATAGTAAAATAGCATTGATACAGCCTGGATGAGAAGTCTCAACCAGCAGCATCCACGTGGAAACTCCTGCTAGTGAAGAGCACCTTGGTTATTAAAGTCTTTACAGAACTGAGAAAGAATGAGTTTCTTCTGGAAGACATGGATTCTGCAAGACCCTTACTGTTGTCTCTTCTAATCATAGTTTATTGGAAACTGAGGTTATCCTGCACCACGCTGCAGGAACTTTACTGGCTTTGAATGCATATTTCTATGAAATAGCTTGATTTCAGGTAGCCCAGGACTGATACAAGCAATCTGCACAACCCTTACAAAAGCTACGTTCGCTGATTGGGCCATCAGCACGTTAACCTGGACTGCTGCACTCTGTTTTACAATGCAATTTAGATAATTATGAGAACGTTGTATTGAGATAAGGAGTTAATCTTTCTGAAGAGTAGTTATCAGTTATTGCCTTTTATAATTCCCTCCTTCACTCATTTCACAATTTTTCTTCTTAAAATAGAAGATAGAGCCTAGTAATAACAAAACGCCTGCCAAGTCTTTTCTATTTAATCAGTTAGACATCAATGGAAAAGGAAACCCAAGAAAGGAGTAGATTTTATTTTCCTCCCCTCACTTGTATAGATTTAAAATCTTACAAATTAGGATGTAGTTGCATACAGAATCCAAAATCTATGTAGGTCATTTAGTTATAAGCCACGCAGCAAGATTTATAATGTAGATGTGGAGATTAGTTTATCTCCAATGGTGCACATTGACTACTTCTATAATAAAAGAAGCGTCTTTTTTTTTTTTCAGTTTGTGCTTTATTTTCTAAACACTTTGTGTTTTGTAACCCTGTTGCTGTTGGATAAAGGGTTCTGATTTCATGTCTGTTCCAGTGTCTAGTTTTGTTCTTCTTGTCACCTGTCCCTGCCTTATTCTTCTCGAAAAAAGGTGTGGGAAAGCACGACTCAGGGCAACCAAGCATCAACGAGGCATGCTTCTGGAACAATAATTGGCACTGGCAGGGATTCTCTGTAGACAGACATGCAGTGACATTTAAATCTGCCACCACAAATGGAGATTGAGCATTTGAGCATGTAATGTGAATCCAAAGACGGAAAGAATATGTGAAAGACAAAAAATGAAACTAACACCACCAAGGATCCTGTTGTATGCATCTCTTTACTTTCAGCTGAAGGACCAGCAAAACTTCTATACCTAGAAGAAAATCTGAAGTATGAATAATAATCGTGCAGTTAAATGACTATTTTTTTCGGAATTTAACTGTGCCCTGACTTTTCTTGTCACTTTTAGTTCTTATTCAGTAAAATTATAGTCTAGATCAATGAACACTTTACTCTTTCTGAGCTTATTTACCGTTAAACTTGAAGGTTAAAATTTTCTGGTTTTCTTTGCTAGCGTCTCTTCTAATGGCTGTGGGTGCGTATGAGCCAATGGGTGGGTGTCTGGCAGCACACAATTCATGTGTGCATTATTAGAAACCAATTCTAAATTCAATTGTGCTTCTATATGTCAGAAGAAACTTCAGTGAATGAATTAGGCTGGCACTAAATTGTGACAAAACATTCAGCAGTCCCCATGTATTTACTTGTGCATTTGAGTACTCAGGTTTGGGTGTTAAATTGTTTTGTTCTGATTCTTTTTTCTTCCACAACAGTAGCTTTTTAATGCTTTTATTCAATCTATGTGCAGTATAGATGAATCTGCATCCATTTTATCAGTGCAATTAGACCCAATTCTGGCACATGATTTAAGCTGTTTTGCAGGGGCTGTGTATTACACTTGCAAGGAAAACGACCTGATGGAGTTTATCCATGCAAATGTTCATGATCCTACCCAAGAAAAAAAAAGTTTAAATTGCGTTTTCAAGTATTGATAATTCTTACTCATCTGTCTATAAAGTATCACCGTGTCTTTGTCTTTGGTGAATTTGATACAGCAGCTTGTAAGGAGGAATAAATTGCAGTACGATGATTGATTCTGAACTGTGGCAGTTGCACTTCAATCACCCATTTTCTTTGTCCGTAAGGCAAAGCTCACCGACTTCTACTTTGCTTAGTCTTAACTGTAGATCCACTTAATCTTTATAAGGATTGACTGCATTTCTGAAGACATGCCTGGTTTCCTTACAAAATTCCACAGCAGAGGCTTGCCTACTTCAGATTAAATTAATCACAGCATATTTAGGAGATGGTTTACGTTTATATCATTCAGTGTATTAAAGATCAGCTTTGTGGTTATGTCGAGGTACCCCACAGGACCCCAATGACAATGCACTGGTTGTCACAGAAGCACCCTGAAATATGCAGTGCCTCTCTAGAAAAATAAAATTTCATTCAAGGGAAGCCATTGAAAATGAGTGAAGCAGGTAATAAGGAAAGGACAATTTAAGTGATATAATCATGCTCTCCAACTGAGTACTCTGAGTGGAAAAAACCTCACCATACCATACCTGTGTAGTCATTATTGTCTGACATTTTTTTTGGCAGTCAGAGTGGAGCCCTGTGTTAGCATGAGCTATATGCAAAGGTGTCTACAGGGCTTCCAGTAATGCTTACTGGAATGTTTTGTCTCCTCCTGGCTTCTTGTTTAATTATGCACATTTAAGTGTTTAGGCTTCAGTAGTTGCATTGAAGCAAAATTAGTACAATAAAGGTAGAGAGGTACTGTGCCCTGTTTAAATAGTTGAAAACTGGTATCTCATAAGACCATGCAGAACAGCACAGCATTGTTACGCAGTTAAGCTCATGGAATAATGAAATAGTAACACAAAAAACTGAGTTGTGTTAGCTGTCAGTATTGATTGGCTCTGTTTAAGTCTGGAAAATCTTCCTCTAAGCATTGACTAAAGTTTTCAATCCATCCATACGTGCTCATCTGAAGTGTAGTCTGTTTGGTTTTATTATTACGTGTCACTAGGAAGGAAGGAGGTGGAAGGGTGAAATAAATACCTGGTTTAAACAAGCTCATTTACTAATTCCTTAAATAATCATTGACACTTTAGAGGAAAATATTTTCTAATATAATTACCCTTCCTCCAAAAAAAACCCACTACCCTCCCCAAAAACACAACAAATAAAACAAAACCAACCTACAAATTTATAGGTGTTTTCCAGAGTTACTACAAGAGCCACTGCCTCTGGTTCAATACTCATAGAATTGGAGAACTGGATTTACAAATACATCTGTGTTGTATCATTAAGTTGTCTGATTCTTTAGGGTTCTTATCCCCTCTCTTCTTTGGGGACTATTCAAAGAGGCACTTGTTGTGCAGGTTCCTGCAGTTGTTATCCACGTTCTGTTTTAAATTGTGTATTTCTGTTATTACTGTCATTGCTTCTGGGCTTGACATTGGCTTTGTTTTTTATTAAATAGTTAATATGAGGCTGCACAGATAGAAGAGCAGTAATTCTTCTCTTTCCCTGCTATAGTAATTGACACTTGCTTTGTTGATGTGTGGCTAACAGAAGTTACTGAGTTACCAGATGAAGAACTGGATGCTCTCCGGACCTTTTGCACCGATAAGATCAGAAGGATGCATCAGGGGCTGATCTCTAAGCAGGCAAGTGGTGTCAGGTCAAGGAAGCTGCAGCATGGATTCATGTCAAAGAAATCAGAGACAAGTGACTTGAACTGCATGGTTCCTGGTCAGTTAATGAATAGAATCCGCCTGAAGAACATCAGGGAGACCATTAATCAGGTACTGTGTGGTGATTAAAATGGTAACGATTTCTGTTCTTGAGCAAGGCTGGGATAGGCAGTAACTGCAGCCCACAATAAGCCCCAGAACAAGGGGGCCTGCAGTCTGTCAAGAGTGTCAAGTCTGATGTTTTGGCCAGCGATACTTGCATTCTTGCTTTGTGCTTGTCGAAGGATTTGAATATGTAGTTACAGCAGTCGTCACCTACAGATGCCTTTACCCATAAATCTGGGCCTTGGCAAATGCCTTTGCTTTGTTTGAAATTGGTACAGAATGTCTGCATCTGGGAAAGCATTTCTGATAAAGCAAAAAAACCCACCTTTGAATAGTAATTACAGTCATTTATTTTACTTTCTCTCCATCATGTATGCTGGCTTTAATCTATGGCCATATAACATAGTGCAAGTGACTGTTAACATATTCCTCTGTTAAGCCTGTGCCAGGTGAGCAGGGAAAAATACTTTAAAGTCAGTCCTGGCATAATGATTCTTTCAGGCTTCTTGCCTATTTAATTTGTTTTGCAACTTCAGCAATCTACATTCTGTTATTTTATTAGCATTAACCAATCCACCATTCTGTAGAATTCTTACTGCCTCTTTATTTGTATTAGTGTGGTAATACCTTTTTTTAAGAAAAGTGACTTTGACTGCTACATCTATTCATTTTTGTGTTCACCACCATGTAATACTTCTATGCAGAGGAGAAGAAATCAAGGAGTAAGATGACAGAGGCTTGAGACATGGCTTTCTAGGATTGATTCCACTGCTCTTATTAGGTCTATATAACAAGATGGAATCCGTGTAAATTAAATCAGATAAAAATTATTGATAATTTGTACATAGGCATACAGGGTTTTGTGTAATGTTATTAAATATAGTCAAAGTTTCGTGGTAGGTAAACGAGGAATTGATAAGTGTCATTTATTTTACAAAGTCAGCTGCTTGTTGAACTTTGTATTCTGTCTTTGAGATGCATATAGGTATTTGAACCAACTGCTTCAGAGTTCATTTTCCTCTTAAAATTCGTGAAGATATCATAACCTTCATGGTTTGTACTTAAGGCCTTACGTAGATTGTCAGTGTAGGAACTTGATGACAGCCTCATTACAGACAGGCAGTTTTATATGGTGGAATTATTGCTGATCAACAATTGCTGTTACAGAGTTGTGATGATCAAGTATTTGTACTCTCTTAGCTTGTTGGGAACGTGAAATAAAGCATCTTCGTTTCACTTAATCAAGCCTTCAGGAATGAGTGTATTAGCTGTTGTGGAAGGCTGGTTAGCGCGCACGGACTGGCATTCCAGAACATCAACTGCTTACTAAGCAAGAGGAACTAACGACTGGTGGTGCTCCTGATGTATTTGATACTAGCAAAGCATGTATAGATTTACACTGATAAAACCAATTTATATTGAGCATCCACCCACGTCAAATGAGTTACTTTTTCCCCCCATTAAAACCATCTTCAATATTGGCTTTGGTTGCTTACGTGTTGGTAGCAATCAAGTACTATTTTTTTTTTTTTTGACCATTAGTTACTGTAGAAGAAATCGGTAGTGTGCACACAGCTTCAAGTGTCAGGGAAAGCTTGCCTATTACAAGAAGCAGCAGTCTGTTACAGCTCAGTGCAATGGGTCTGAGATATAGATAAGTTCATTTCAATTAAAATCACCTATCAGTGCTGGAGGAGGCAATACATCGGAAAAAGCAAATATTTTTAGTGTGAAGACATTCAGACAGGCTCATTGAGGTGATACAGTGACAAAAATTATGAAATAATTTGCAGCTGCCTGCAAAAGCAAGCCTTTGTCTTTAGACACTCCATCTTTATTGATTATTTTTAATGTAATGGTCATCTTGCTGGGACAGACACTGCTCATTACATCAAAGTCTCATCCTTCAGGTGACAGAAGCTCAAGTGCACCAATCTTCACAGTGCCCTGACTGTAAGAAGAAGAAGGCAGAGCTAGCCGAGATCGCCTTTCTCAGACAAAAGAAGGCACTAGTGGAAAGAGCTTTACTCCAGGAAAAATTGGAAGAACAAATTTATTCCAGAGTAAGCAAATGTTATTAAAAAAAAAAAGTGTTTTGATACATTTTATATTTACTGTATCTAAAGAATTTGTAAGCCAGATTTTCTCCTAATTTATGGTAATGCAATCAGATTGATCTGAATGCAGAACAATTCAAAATAGAATTTGGCTCCATGTCGTTATGGAGACATGGGACTAGCATGCTGATCAAGTAATTTGAGCTTGCCTGATTTATAGAAGCTGAAGGTCTTTTTCATGATGTCCTGAAACTGTTTTGGGTACATCTTGATTAGTTCTCCACAGTTTAATTCTGATGGGCTGTCCAAGACAAAATAGTAAATAACAAAGCCATGCCACAGTAGGCATGTCTGTACCAGTCTTCCTCCCAGTCCTCTGGCTTAAGAGTTGCAGAATAAGGTGCTGCAACAAGTTGTGGAGGCTCAGGCTCAAGCTTGCTGCTTGGAGGCAATTTCTAAGGCTGTTTCTTAAGCACGGTGGTGATGTGATCTTTGTCGCTTGAATGTGAGCAAGCTGCAAAGGTGGCTTCTGGTAGAAGATCTGATCATTTGTAAAGGCAGCATGTTGTTACTGGTTATGCAGTTGAATGCCTAAGTTTTCCTGTCACGGTACAAGTAGAGGATGCACAATACACTCATTTTGAATTCCTAAGACTTTATTGCTCTGAGGGGCAGTGACATCAGTTTTAGAGCTTTTGCTTTGTACGTGCTTGTGCATGTGGGCTTTTTCTTTTTTTCTAGTGGTGTGTGCTTTTTCCCCCCCCCCCCCTAAATTGGTTTAAAATTTTGACAGGTACTTGTCACTTCTTCCCTGCTCAATAGGGCAGAGGAAAGTCAGGCCCAGTTAAACATTTGTGAGGAATTACAGAGGAGGAGAGAAAATGTGGCTTTGCAGCAAGTTTTATGTTGGTTCTTCAGGAATAGTTTAGTAAGGCCTCATTTTTCTTTTTTTCTTTTTTTCTTTTTTTTTTTCTTTTCTCTCCTAGCTTCTCTGAAAAGGCCTTTTCCTTCCTCTCCCTGGGGAAGAAACCCTTGGTCAGTAGCCAGTGCAGTGTATGAGCTGCATGGCATTATTGAGCTCTTTGTCATCTCTCTTGGCAGCCATCCACAGAAGGTAGAGATGACATCTGGTCTCTAGAGACCAACATAACTTTCTGCTTGCCTGCTGTATGGGACAGATCACTGGCCACACTGTTCAACAAAGTTTTTAAACAAGATGTTTTAAAAACCCAGCAAAATTGTTCTGATGGGAACAGCCTACCTAGTTGCTCTTGAGGGACTGGATATAGCTGCCGGTGGCAGACCCGTGACACAGGCCGTGTCAAATGGCAGGAACCCAAATCCAAATAATTTTTGTTTCCTTTTTATTTCAGGATGTGCTTACCCTTATAGGAGAAACACTCAGAAGCTTTCCCAAACTTTCAGAGGATCCCAGGAACTTATGGCAAAGGATAAAAGACAAAGGTCAGAAAACCTGAAGGCCTGAAAATAATAAACATAAGTCAAGGACATAAAGTGGTGGGAGAGTCTTCTGTGGGCAGCTACGTGCTGATTGCCAGCTCTTGTGGGTATAACTTGTTCTGTCAGTGATAAATGGAGTGACAGTTTAATATTCTTGCAGGTGGAATCAGATATGCCCAGTGTGCTGGAGTCTGGGTTAAGATTCAACTTTTTAGTCAACCCCAGATACAAATGTTGCAATTCTTTGTAATCCAACTAAATATGTTTTTCAAATTATGAAAGCCTGCATTTTCTATTATTAGTCTGACAAGTAATTTACTGGGAGGGGGACTGTGCTTGTGGGATTTCAGAGCAGCTTCCATCCGTAAGAAAAATAAATGATTCTGTTTTCTGGGGCAGGGAGCTGTAATTACTGTGTTTCAGCTCAATCTTTGCCCACTGTATCATGTCAAATTGAAAGTGAGAGTCCCAGGTGAAGGAGAAGAAGGTTGCAAAGTAACAGTAGAAAAAAGTAAAATGAAACAGGGTATTTATAGAACTGAAATAATGAGACTGTAACAGAAATTAATCTGCAACAGTGAGGATGCCAACAGGACAAGAAAAGGTAATAAATTAATCTTAGAACCTGTCTGGGATAGCTGTCTAGAAGGAGAAAAAACAATATAGGTTAAAAATGGCATGAGGTGTCAAGTAATATTTTTGGCAGATCTTTAATATAATTTGGTATTTGTTATTTTATGCTATTTTCAAAATGGCGAAGACTTTATTTCAAATAGTATATCCAGATGAAAGTTTAAGTATTCAGTGCACATCCAAACAAAATGGCTTTATGCTGGGGAGCTCAACGGGCTAAGGAACAGAATCATTATCTGCGTTGTAGCCTCAAAAGATACTTGCTGTGCTGTGGGCACAAATGCACCCCACCTTTCTGACCATTGCTGACAGCAAGAGCTCAGTGCCTTGTTCGTGCAGTGACCTTGTGGCCGCTGGACTTGCACGAGTCACAGGTAGTGGCTTTCATCAGTTTTCACCTTCCTGGTTTCTGTGAATTTAGAGCTCTTGATGGCTGTGGAAATCTTGAAGAATATCCTCGTCTATGAACCGTGTGAATAAAGGATTTCACTGCTTAATACCTCAATTATTTTTTTCTATGAAAAATAGGATAAAAACGTTTTAAAAACTTTTTTTAGGCAAGAATATGTATTGTTGAAGTTGGTTTTGTATTTTATATCCTTTTAATCATTTTCTTGTATAGGCTCATATTGTTCTAAGAATGCTAGGGGGATGTTTAGCCTCTTATTTTCCCTTCACACAAACGAATGGAAAACCTAAAAAGAAATGTTGGGATGTACAAATAGGCCACCTGCGTCGTAGCAGATACCTGCTTTTTGGTGCTTAAAAACCTGTCCTGAATGGGTTCATCCTGAGCGGGTCAGGCCCAATGTGAAAACAATGCAGCCTGGTGCTTCACAAAGCTGGTTGTCATTGCTTCCTTTTCAGGTGATTGTTTTCTTGTAAGCCGGTGGGTTTAGTAGTCTACTGAATATTCCCCAAAGCTTGGTTTTAATTTTTAATTTATCACCGCAGGTTGCATAGCTGCTTATGTAATGAGAAAGCTCCTGCCTGGTTCTCCTCGTTACTCTCTGATGATTAGAGATGGTTGAATCCCTTAAATCTCCTCCCTTCCAATATTTTAAGCCTATTCTTTTTATATTTTCCATCTCTGCTCCTTATGTAGTTTTGGACTATACTCCCTGTTTCTCTTGAATCTTCCAAAGTCTCTTGTGATGTGCTTAACACTAGGTTAAAGACCCCCAGCACTCCCAGTGAATCCTCGTGAGGGCTGTCACATATGGAAGTGGTAATTGGGAGCTGGATGCTTTGAAAATGTAATTTTGTTGTTATTGCCAATGAACACATTTTTCACCCCTTTAGAAAACAAACAAACAAACTAACCAACAAAACAAAACAAAAAAACATCAACAGTAAATTCTGAGACTCTAAAGATAAATTGTTTCATTTTATAGGAAAAAAGATATTATGATATTTTGCTTTCAGTACATAGTTCCTTACTGGAAATACTGAAATATTTATTTCCAACTCTTTTGTCAAACCTTTTTGTAAATACTGTTGAAGTATGAGTTATTTGGACTAGTGTCTGACAACATTTGTGTCTGTAAAATAGTATTCATACTCCCACTGCACAGAGGCTATACAGTTCTTGTTCGTTTGCATAAATGTCAGAAAGGCATCTCAGGTAGCTCCTCTGAAAAAGTCAAAGCGTATTTTGCTCATGTCTTTGTGTGCCTTTTCCTACTGCTCACTATGGCTCTTTCACCGTTTTTTTTAAATCGAGAGTGACTCAGATCTGAGTGTTTGTCTTGTAGCAGCTATTAAGGACGTAGAACAAAATGAATGGTCTGGGACTCTAAATAATTTATTTCATAATCCTGAAGTGCTTGAGACTAGAAATCCAAAAGTTCTGATGTGCAGGATGTTGGGGGAAGTAGATCATGTTGCTTCTTTTTCTAATCACAGGAGGTTCCCCCTCCTGTACCTTCCTCAGCAGTGGGTTTTTGGTTTGATCCAAAGAAATACTGTAAAGCTGTAAAATATTTCTGATCAAGAAATATTTATTAATCTACTCCCTAGTTGGTGCTTGCTGGGACATAGAAGGAGTGAGGTGGATCAAGGGTGATTCGTGCGTTAAGCAGCTGAAGTACTGACAGAAATTAATCTGCCTATTGTAGGAAGTCCTTTTGGAGCTTTTGCCTCCTAGCTTTCATGCTACCCGTGTTGGCATTACTTAATCTGAATGATTTGTGATGTGGTACAGCGTGTGAACTTTGCACAGACGTGGAAGGGTTTTTCATGTATATGTTGATATTATATATGCTGATAACTGGTTTTCATTATACTATTCTTTATTACTGGCCCTTTGGATAAAGTTGTATTCCTCAAATTACTGTTAGAGCCACTTTCTTGTGTGCTTTGGCAATATAATTTCCACTTTTGCTTGCCCCAGGTTTCTCAGAGGAAAAACTGAACCTGGCTTCCAGGCTCAGCCATTCCTTAGTCTTGTTCCCAACCATCTGTCGGGGCACAGGGCTGTGTACTTGTTTCTCCCCCAGAATCTCACTCAAAATAGGTTTCTAGAGAAACAGAGATTTCCAGTTACCTGTGAAATACGTAGTCACCGAATGCTTGAGCTTGGAAGGGCACCGTATCCACCCACTGCTTGAGCAGGGTTATGCAGAGCAGGTGGGCCCTGGTCCCACTGGCCCAGTAATCCTTCCATTAATCTTGAAACTTTTCTTTGAAGCTATACTAGAAACTGCAATGCTTCAGGCTCCCTTGGAGCCACTGCCTTTTCATAAATCCATCTCCTTGTCATAATTCTGTTGCGCAGTGAGAATTTTTTAAGCACAGCCAATTTGATCAGCTTCCAAGAAGAGGATCTGAACCCTTTTATTCGTACTGGGAGCTTGACAAAAACTGAACTGGTGGCCTTGAGGATGAGGTTTTGCTGCTGGAAGGGATCCTGTCTCTCTGTGAAGCTGTTAGCTGACACAGTACCCAGATTCTTCTTCACTAAAAATCTGAATTGTCGCTTTCATGTGACTATTCTAAATTATGTATGTGGGTATGGAGAAGAGTGCTTTCAGCTATGTATTTTTAAGACATTTGGAAATATACTTGTGTTCTTTAGATTGTGATTTTATTAATATTCAGTATGATTTTCAGTAAACTACTTTTTATTGTCTCTGTTCAATAAGAACTGACCTAGATGCTAGCTATAATAAATGCAAATTGCTACTGCATGCAACAGACTTGTGTTTTGAATGTCCCTGTTTAAAAAAAAAAAATAAGGGTGGGGGAAATACATCCATTAATCCTGTGAATACCAAGTTTGCATTGTCTTCATGCAGCTAGCTAACTGTTCCTTTTTGCTGTGCAACTGAGAGATCTTCATCTGCACCACCAGCAGTGTGATCTGTGGGGGAGGCTGGGACATGGGGGGGCCTTTCCCTGCTGTCGGTAAGGTAGGAGCTCCTCTCTCGTTCAAAGTGTCTATAGAATTGGGCAGGGTACCTTAAAAAAACATTATCCAGCATCTAGGCATGGATATTCATTGCTTATTTATACATTTATTTATTTTGTAGTAAAATAGTACCGTTTGTTCTCACATAGACTAGTGTGTATGATCCATAAATACGTTGTAAAATATATCTGTAGCATGTAACAGAACCCTTTAGAATATTCTGTGAAAACTCATATTTTTAGTTGATAGCACTCTAAGAACATTTACATCCTTCATCTTGACATTTTTAAATAAAACATTTTTTGCCTACAGAAGTAAGTTTACAGCATCATCACAGTATTATAGCTTGTTTAAAAATACATAGAGCATCAATGGTAATTGCAAGCAAGCTGTATACTTGAGCAGGGTTTTTGTAATTTTACATGTTTTGTACTTTTTAAAACGATTACATATATTAGTGTTACATCCATCACTTTGTTAGAAAATATTACTTATATATGCTACTCACAATAGAGCTGTCATTTCTCTGTGACATATTACAGGCTATGAAAATAGAAACACACCATTGTATGGTTGCTTTAAAAATAATTACAAGCCTAGTTAAAAAAGTGCGTTAGGCTTGCTCTTGGTAAGATAGGTTCCACTAACGCTGGATGTCTTTAATCCACTTGTGGTTGGAATGCCACTAGCACCTCTCAGCACTGAACGTTCAGTGAAAGAAAGCCTGACTGCCTGCCTGCTAGCAAATTTAGGGCTCGATCCTGCACGCTGTCTGCACGTACCCCTTGCTGAAGACACGGAGAGCTCTTCAGCCACAGACCTTCAGCGCCAGGCTGCTACTCGCTGAACATCTGTGAATCTGATTTACTTAAGACTACAACTGGGTTTCAGAATCTGCAGCCAGATGATTGGATCAGTGCAAGGCAACACAACGTCAGTGATTTTTTAGCAGCTGTGTTGGCAGCATTAACCAAAATCTGACCCTTTGCCTTCCACGGGCCTTTGGGTTTTCAAAAGGATGGGAGTACTAGATTTTAATGTATGGTTTTAGTAATACAATAGAGGTTAAAAATACATGATTGTGTTGGTTTTGCTTTGCACAAATGAGACTAAATATATAAATATATATAATAAAGCTGTAGGAAATCTCCAAACTGCTAACAACTCTTAGAAATGAGATAAAACAAGGATATAGTTGCTTGGAAATTTCATAGTTGCCATTCTTTTTATTATTTTCAGGTAATGCAAGAATATTTTGTGTTGGAATTTTTTTTTTTTTTTTATGAAACAAGTCCAGGCGTGCTTTGAAAAATGCTCTTTTCGTGGTCTTTCTGGTACTCCTCTTGTGCTCTCTGCAGTTTTTTACCTCTCAGTTTCCACTTGTGAAAACAGTAGGTCACTAGGGATGTCATTACCAAAGAGAAAATAATAACCAGCACTATTATCAGTGCAATAGTGGATGAGAGGGACCCCTCTAGCTGCTTAGTTTCAGTGTCTCTCGTTGTGTTTAGTTTAGCAAAGTTCTCATACTCTGTTGAGGCCAGAAGCGTGGGTACAGGAGCTTCTTTGAACTTCGGCCTCATTGGGATTCAGTGGTTGTTCTCACTCGGTCAGAATTCCTGAAGAAGCAAGAGCTATGATTCCCTTGTCACCTGTGGCATTCGGAAGGCAGTTTTCTCCTCGGGTTTTCCAGGCATCGATGAGGCTCACAAGTTTTGTTTGCCTTTGAAGCCAGGCAGCGTAAGAACGGCAGCACGTGTCGCAGAGCGCCCAGCACAGGTCATCTACAGCCAGAGCCGTGGAAGCCAGATGCTTGCGTGCACTGTTGGCTGCTTCGTTGAGAGGTGTTTGGGGGAGAGGCTGCTTAGTTGACTGCCAGTTTGCGATTCTTTGTTTTCTTGAGCAGATAATTGAAGAAAATCACATCAATTTTCCAGTAACATTGTGGTGGCAGGGCTTATCCTCAGGCTTAAAAGAAAAACAAGCTCTGCAACAAGCGTAGTTTATGTCTTACGAATTCATTCAGTAAGAGGCTTTTTCTTCCCCCAAATATTCCCCAAAGAGTGTGAAATCAAAGGCAGATTTTTTTGCTGAGGGGCAGGCTTGGTTTTGCTAACATCACAGGCATTAACAAAATCAGCTACGAAACAGGAGCTCTCATGTTAATGATTGTTTTTAATTTTTCCCACTTCTTTGTTATTTGCCCTCAGACTTGGCTTGTCCAGAGAGGATTTTGGTTTGGGGTTTTTTGTCCTTGTTATACCGGAGTTTAGGAGATGTCCTCACTGATTGCAAAGCTGGAACCTGGAAAAATGACCTGGGTAAAAAATGGCATAGTGTTACTTAAGAGGTAAGCTCCCCTAAAGGCAGCGAGCTGTAATAATTCTGACAGCATTTCAAACACATTTAAGTCAGTTGGCTTTGATACACGCTGTGTGTGACGAATTCTGAAAAAATTACTCATATGAGCAGCTCGGGAGCTAAAAGAGCTGGGTTTGCATTATCTGCCCCACGTTGCAGGTCTCGTCTTAGCTTAAAACCCAGCGAGGAATACAGCTGGCCTGTTCTTACTGGTTTCTGCTTCCACTCAGGACAGTAGGATTTGGCCCCGGGTTATTTTAATTGGAGGAGCTGTAAACACTTTCAAAGCTATTTATTTCAAATAACAGATTGCTCTAAACCCCCTCCACCCTACTCCCAAATGCTTTGAGGCCAAAATTAGGTTTCAAAGATCTTGCAGCATAACTGTTTGTTCGGAGATGCTCTGTTTGATAGGATGCAATTGTAATTCATCCTCTTTATAGAAATCTGTGGTTCATCCCACTCAGGCTAAGGTCTCTTTTACTAATTAGCAGCATTTTCAGCAGCACATTCTTGTTTGTAATAAAGACTGTTTACTATAAATTAGCATTCTGTTGATGTTAAAAGATGTAAATGAGCAGTTCTTGCCAGTTTGGAACAATATGTTCACATAGTCAAAAATAAATGTTGGTTTTAAAGAAAGTTTAAAAGCCAGATTTTACTGTAGTTTAAGACAAAAAAAAAAATTAAATACGTGTTTGTAAAGCTGATGGAAAGTTTTTCGTGTAAGAAAAACAAGTGCAACAAACCGTAACTTTAATGAATGTCTACATATTGTATTACTGGCAAGGGGTATATCAGGAGGTTATGGGCAATAGAATATTTTAGTACTACTTAGTTAGTTTGTTATGTATTGCAGCAGCTTTCTCAGGTAGCCTGAAGAAAGAAACTTCAAGAAATGAGTTGAAGGCACTGAGTAAATGCCCTTGTGGTTTATGGAGTAGCTAAGTGTCCACCACCCACGTGAAAGTCCAGGAGGGTGAAATGTCTCAGCACTAATGAAATTCAGATCTCGTCATACTTGCCTGAACCTGTATCTCATCTCATCTGTATCCACAGCTATCAGATTCCTACAGGGAAAATGTAAAATCGTTAGGCATCTGGTACCGGACAGCACTGTTCCAAAAAACGCGAGTGGATGTTATTTGTAACTCAATTTCACTCTTAGCTCAGGTACACATTTTTCAGATAGCAACAAAAATGCTTTTAAAATCTAAATCTGCCAAGTGTTGCTTGTTCTTAGCTGCATTTCGGAAGAAGGAGGCTGCTTTGATGGGCTTCAAAACAGATTGACTGAGGGTTCACTTTGGTTTGGCTGTAGTCTACAGCAGAGCCACAATCAGTATGTGTTACCACTTCTTTTTAGTATATTTTACTTTTAAACCTCTTGAGGGCAAAGAATGCTTCACCCAGTCCTGATATTACTGCATTCTTATCCGGTGAGGGCTGTGGTATCATCCAGAGCCTCAGACTCTGCAGTAATGGTGTGGTGTGCTATATTTGAAACAGAACAGCAGAAGGAAGAAAAGCTGAGCTTTCTAATCCACGCTGCACTTTGTATCGCACATGCAAGGACCACAAGGGCTTGAGGGAGGTGACAGAATTTGTGAATCAACAGCTGCTTGCACAAATATGTGCCAACAGCAAAGATTTGGTTGTTACTATCTTACTGTCATAGGAACCCCATCTGAGGACCAAAGACTGCTAGGGAGAGCTGGGAGCCACCTGACCAAGTGGGGCCAAAGCATCTTTGCTGCAAGACTGGCTAGCCTAGGGGGAGAACTTGAAACTAGGAACGAGATGGAAGTGAGATGGTGACCCCCAGGCAAGTGAGAGTGGGCCAGGTTGGTGAGCAAAGGGTGCAGGGTGATGTGGGCCAGAGACTGAAAAGGGGCTCTTCTCAGGTGTCTGTGCACAGGGAACAAGTGCCAGGAAAGCTTTATGGGAGAGGCTTTCAGCTTTTCTGGGAAATGAGCATGACTGGGTGCTGATCCAGAGGGTCTAGGTGCTTGTGCATACAGCATGGAAAAGAAATGTGAGGACTGAGGTCTTTGTGAAGTTACAAGGTGACGAGCTCAGTGCGTTTAGAGATGGCTTACATGACCAGGGTGCTGCCGTGGATGGATACGAGGCCCTCAGGAATGTTAAATGCTGGTAAGGTCTTCCTAAATGCTAGGAATCCTAAAGCTGGAGCCCCCAGAGCTGTGGCTGGGCATGTGTAAGGAGGCAGTGGAGAGCTTGTGGGTCAGGATTAGAAGGCAGATCACCAGGGGGGGCGTTGTGTCTGCTGTATCTGTTGTGGGTGCCTGCTACAGACTGCCTGACAGGGAAGAAGCTCTTGCAGAGGCCTTCCTTGTGCAGGTGGAAGATTAATTTTGTGTTCATGATAACTGCCTGACACAGGTGATGCAGGAGCCAGTGAGGCTCTGCTGGACCCCATACTTGCGGACAAGGAAGAACTGATTGGGGGTGGTAAGGCCGGGGGCAGCCTTTGCTGTGGTGGCGATGAGGTGACGGAGTTTCAGTATCCTGAGAGGAGGGAGCAAGGCAAATAGCACCATCACGGCCTAGGTCTTCAGGAGAGCAGACTTTGGCCTGTTCGGGGACCTGCTCAGAAGATTTTGGTGGAAGATGGTCTTTAAGAGAGATGTCCAGGAGAGCTGGCTGACTTGCCACCCAGCTGGAAAGCAGCTTTGCAGAAAAGGCCCTGGGGGGCCAGGTGGATGCTGAGTTGAACGAGAGCCAGCAGGGAGTTTTTGTAAAGGTCAGTGGCACCGTGGGCTGCATCGGGAGGAGAATCCTCAGCGGATTGGGGAGGTGGTTAGTCACTTACACACAGCTCTGGAGAGACCACGGTAGTGGTAAATGTAATGGCATAACTCAGATTGCAATGTCCTACTGAGATTTCGGTTTCTGAGACAGAGGGGGACCTCTGGTACCGTGCTTCAATCTAGAGAAGACTTCCTATTATCCTTAATCGTTGTATTTACACACACGTACACAGAGTGCACGTTTCAGGTTTCCATCCACAGTGTCAACACGTTCTCGTGAGGAAACTTTCCATTAAAAAAAAACAAATGTTCTTCAATAGCTATGCCCTAATTTAATTCAAAGAGATCGTAAATTATTCTTACATTATTGGGTTGTTTTTGTGTGTGAGTCACAAGTCTTCAGTGTATTTTGTCTGAGCGTTAAGAACATGCAAACTAATATCTCAGGAATGTGCATATTTAATTCCCATTAACATTTAATAACATACTAGAATGATTCAGGTATTTCAAAAAAAAAAAAAAGCTTTTTGTCCTGGAAGAAACTTATCATGAAAGTGTATTAAAATATCTGCACGCATGAATGCATGGTATGTGCCCGTACCTAGAGATGGACTTTGCTACCATTTTCATACCTTTCTGGTATAGCAAGCTAATATGTAAAGTGAAGTATAAAATATGTAAAGTGAAGTATGAAGTATGGAAAGTGAAGTACCACTTGGCATAAGCTGTGAAGGCCAAAATCTGCTCCTTGTTTTGTAATGTCCTTGCGATGGCCGTTGTCTTTCCCCTTGTTTTCCGAGTTTGATCTCTGAAAGTTTCATGCAATTTACATGAGAGAAACGAAGGAAATTACAGGGACAAATTGATCTCAAAGATTAATTCTGGTTATTGGCTATCAAATGCTGAATTGCTGAAAAGAGAGATGAATGTGGATCAACAGCTTTGATTTCATTGAGCCTCCTACCATTTTACATGGGCAAAACTTGTCTCTGTGTTTGATAGTAACTTAGGTAATGAATAATACTACTATTTGTGTTATATAAAAAAGAATACTGACAACTTATATTGAATCCTTAAATAAAATCAAGATACTGGGTTGGAAAGCCAGGCTTATGTGGAGTTTTAGTTGCCAATGCTTTTTTCTGTTAGGATAACTGTTTTCTGATTCTTTGTTGCAGCTGAAGGAAGGACTGAGCTCTGTGAACGTCCAAAATCTTCAGCTTGGTTGGAAGGATGAGGGCCAGAAATTACAGGTGAGGTGCTGTGGTTTTGGTGTTTTAATAGGAAGCTGATTGTACGTAGCTAACCTTTAGGTTAACTCAGACTTCGTGTCTGTGACTTTCTGGTTTCTTTCATTGAGGGAGAAAGGTTGACAAGCACATCTAAACCAGTAGTAGAGCAAGGAAATTTTATGATACTGTTCTCAAATGAATATAAAAACATCTTTTTAAAGATCCCTGGCATAAAACTATGAACTTGCTCCTTGTGAATTAATATTAAAAGTCTCTGATTCCAGTAGGAGAATCTTTGGTTGCTGTCTTGTGTGTATCTCTTTCAAGTACTCATGCATACACACACACTGCATTTTCAAATCAAATGCTGAATTCCTTCTAGCGTTTATATCATCTTTAATATGTATTGGCTTTCTAATGTAGTTTCAGGCTTTCTTTCTTTCTGCCTTCAGCTTGCTTGTAAATTTTTCTGCTGCCTTTCAAAGTGTGTTTTCTGTTTTTTATTGCATTACAGAAGAATGTGCCTCTTTTCTCCCGATTTGCATCTTTTTGATGTGAAAACATTTGTATGAAATGTATCATGTTCTAAACCTGATATGTAAATGATTCTTTTCTCTTCCTCCAGAGCTAGTGTAGCAAGACATCTACTAATACACTTGTGCACAAAAATGGAGATGAAAGTCAGAGTGGGAGTGAGAGCAAATGAAAGTGGGGACAAGGAGGGAGGGAGGAACAGGAGAAGGATAGAAGGGAGGAAGGACTTCAAGAAGCACACAAGTAGCAAGTCTGAAATATCTCACTGTTTCTTTACTGCATCTTCTAGAAACTCTTGTGTAAGAACCCAGGGCCAGATTTTATGGATGTTTTAAATATGTATGTAAGTCCACCATAGCCGTTTTCAAAACGCCTATGTGTACTGGTACACATCTGTCTATCTCTGGGTGCTCAAAACACGTTTGGAAATCCTGAGCTTTCAAGTCTGCAAAGTGCTGCTCAGCTTTCAGCTGAGAGCCAGCTAGGCTTCGTACTTCCCAGTAGGTTCTGTGTCCTTGAGGGTATGGGCTTAAAGAATAAACCTTGGGTCGGTGAAGCACAGCAGCCCGCTGTGGGTATGGTTGTAATGTGTAACCAGATTCGTAGGTGTTAAACACCATAGAGTTATTGGAGAGATCCTAAAATGAAAGGACCCGGCTTCTGGCTTTGTCTTCCTTCTTAATCTAAAACCAAAATCCAAAACTGATCTAGACTAAATTTTATACTTAATCATTCCTTAGGAACTTGATTTGCATAATACCCTTGCTATGATATAACAGGCAACTTAAATGCAGATTTAAGCAAGTCAATTAGTCTTTTAATTAAGGCTGTAAAATTCTGCCCTAGTCTCTCAAAATGCTTTACCCTATTTATATCCTGGTGAGCAAAAAAAAACCTCTGCTTTTAGTTGTTCAGCCTGTTCTGTCTGCATTATACTCTGGAAATACAATGTGAGTGTTCCTGACTGTCTGATGGCTTTGTTTTGAGGTTTCCTCCTCCCTGATTCAGGAGGAGGGAAAGGCTGCAAGTTTTGGAAGCGCTTGCAAAACCTCATTCCAGCATTGATCAGATCTGTAAGTCAACAGAAGATCTAATTAAGGAACGATATCCGTTGGGATCCTGATTGTCCTTAAAGCAGTGATAGGCTCGGATAACTTTGAGGGACAGACTGGGCATGACAAAAGAAGTGACTTTAGGCCAGATCCTGATACCCCCTTACCTCTGCACTGAGGGATGCTGAGCAAACAGCCTCCATGGATCCAGGTGGAAGTTGAAGGCTGTGAGCACTACTCAGGACGTTTGCTTTTCGGTTATTTCAGAATAACTGCTGTGGGCAGGTGTCTGTGCTTAATGTGGGCTGGGACCGAATTTATATTCATTATTTACATGCTATTTGCCTGGGCCTATATGAACCTATATGGAGCTACTTCTGGTGTGTTGTTTTTTTTCTTCTCAAGGTTTTAATTTTAATTAAGTCATTGCTGAAGTGTAGGGTAATTGCAGCAACAAACCTGTTGTGTTGTAGACTTAAACTCTTAAACTGATACTTATCCCACTGATTTTATTGGTGCCTTCTCGTGATAGTGCTAGATGCTCATTTGGTATAGCTATGATTTGATAAATACCAGCAGTTTTTCAGGTGTGATTGCAGCCTTCTTAAAACCTGCATGTTTTGGTAAGCACTGGGTTTTGTGTGTGCAAAGTCCAAATCCTTCCAGATGCTGCTGATGCCTGTTACCAGGAAGAAACTGCAAGTAAATCTTGTTGTAGACTGAATGCTTGACAAATTCCCTCCTCGAATCAATGCTAGCAAAATGTACCTGTGATACATATTTTAGCTGCCGTGTCTATATAGTGGTGTAAAGAAAGTTTATCATCATGATCAATGAAATCCTAGCATACCGTTTTTAGGGTAGCTTTGAAACCGTGCATTAAATGCTCCCAATGGACATGCTGGCTGAGGCTTAGCAATGCTGTAAGAAAACACATTGGGAAGAGATGCAGGGTCTTACTTCTTTCAGGTGCGTATAGCTGGGGAAGGGGTTGGACTTCTGTTTTTTTCCCTCTTGAATTTGGGAAACAGTGCTTGCTGTATCATGGGGCTGTTCTCTAAACAGTTGAACAGATCTGTTCCTTTGTGAGGTTCACTTAGAAACAGTTTTTTAAAATGCAGTGAAGCCTATGTTGAATTTTTTTTTCAAAGCAGCACTCAATATACCTCTTTTCAGAGGATGGATTTTGCAGATAAGCCACCCTTTGTTTTTCCTAATACAGGAGGCAATCTTACAGCAGCAGCTGAAAAGTGTATCCTATAAAATAGGGATTCTTTTTTTCCATTTGAAATTTATTTCATGGTTAACTTTTTGCTAATTTAGTTCATGTTCATTTCTTTCGCACAACATTCTCCCCTGCTCTTCCCACACTCCTTTCAAAATCAGGGGCAATTACACCCTGTGATTGCAGAGGCAGGCTGTAAATTCTTCCATTAGTCTATATTTTAAATGTTACTCTGGGAAAACGCAAATCCCGAGGTACAAACAATTCCCTAGCCTCCACTGGTACTTAAATTCACTCAGTGTTTTTTCCTTTTTGTCTGTTTCCAGGGCCACTTTGTCATAATGCTCTATATTACATTTTTGGGGTCACAACAAGTACTCACCAGTGCAGGTCCAAGTGGATTGTCTAATTGTTCTCTTGAGTTACAGGGTAAATGAAAACTTGAAAGCACTTTAGAGCTGAATTAAAATGAACAGAACAAAATCCTAAGAAGCTTCATAAAATAAGATTTTAAGACAATCAGTGGCTCTTTCATTACATTCTCATTTTCTTTGCAGGTGAAGGAAGGTTCTGATTCTGGGCTAATTGGCTCTAAAAGGGGGATGAACAAAAGACGTCTGCTTTTTTATCCCCCTCCCGCCTCCTTTTTTAATCTTTCTTCTTTTTTTCTCTTTCCCTACTGCTAGTAAGGGATGTAATTATGGATGGGACGCTTAGCAGCCTTTGTCTTGGATCTGAAATCTGCCAAGATTGAAACTCCCACAGGGATAGCTTTTTTTTTTTTTTTTTTTTTAAACATGTCAAGGAGCAGAAGATTGCCTGAACATTCAAGTGCTCGTCCAACTCAGTTAAAAAGGAAACTTCTCCTTCCAGCCAGCATGTCTGTTCTTGATGAATAGTCACAGTCTAGGACTACAATACCTTCAGTACGCAGGGAATTTCATCTTTAAAATTGTGCAAGAAAAATACGAAGTTAAAAGGTGGGAGGGAGCAGAGAGGGATGGACGGTGGAGTGATGAATGGCATTTTAGATGCAGCTACTTCGTACGGTTCTGGACTAAGATCCCATTTATTTCCCCCCAGCATGGACTAGGGACAGCGTTTGTCAAATCTGGGAGTTGTAGGTAAGCAGTGAGCACCCCTCCTGCTCCCTGCCCTCTTCTCCCCTCTGACAGAATTAAAGCACGGGGGTAATTACCTCTGGGGGTAACGAGCTGGTGTGCAGTGAGCTGGTCCCTGCACTGAGGCTAGAGGAGCAGGGGGGGAGAAGGGAATGGAGACTTTTCTTCGGGCATCCAGCACTTACTAGTGAGGACTGACTTTCCTTTCAGCTTGAAATCACAACCCAGACAGGGGAGAAGTTGTGTGAAATGCAGCTGAGAGGAGTTAATGCACCAGAGAGCAGTGGCTGGAAGGGGACGCGGGGCACGCGGGGGCGCGGAGGGGCACCCCAGGGTGAGCTGCACCCACCAGGTAGGAGCATGGAGGGGGCAGGGGGCTCCTGTTTGTGCACCAGGGGGCCGAGTGCCATGGGTGGCTGAGGGGGAGGCTTGGTGTGCGTGCAGGGGAGAGGGAGGCGATGAATGGGAAAGGCTGAGGGCTACCTGCAGCCCCCCGAGGGACGGGGAGGAAGATGCGCAGCAAGAGCAGCGCATGCATAGGGGAGCTGGGGTGCCCGAGCGAGCACCTTTGGTGGCCCTGTGGGGAGTGATGCGTGCTGCCTCCTGCTCGGACAGCTGCTGGGAGCAGGGGAGAGCTGCACGAGTGGCCCCTGGCCAGGCTGGGGCTCCTGGCTTGGGGGACAGCCCGATGGGTGGCATGGTCCTGGGCACCGCGCCGGGCACCCAGCGGGTGCTGTGCTGTGCCCGGTGGGAGGCTGCAGGGGGCTGGAGCAGGATGAGCTGTGCCCTGCGAGGCACCTGCATGCCCAGCCAGGCAGAGGGCAGGTCTGCAGCAGGCGCCTTCAGATGCTGGGGCTTTATTTTTTATTTATTTTTTTGCTGCTGCGCTTTGCGCCCCGTGCTGGGAAAAGCAGCTTCATCGGGAAGGCGGCTCGTTAGGTGGATTCCCTCAGCAAGAGGCTCACGCCTTCGGCATAACAGGGAAGGAAAGGAGGCTTTTGACCGTGTCCATTAAAAATTAAATTAAAAAAAATTGCGACTGCTGCCCCTTCCCTCCCTCCTCCTCCTCCCAACAAAGCTCCGGTTCCGCACAAAGGATTCATCACAGCCATGCAGCACTCACCTTCTCCGGCCACATCGTCCTCGGCCCGCTGGGCTCCTCTCAAAAAAGGGGGAGCGAGCAGGGGCTGGCAAGGCTGGGAGCCCCTGCTGAAGGCTGGCATGGAGGTAGCCCGCACCCCGGCTAAGTGGCCAGCCTCATCGCCCTCCGTCCTGAAGGCAGCCGGTGCCGAGCGGGCGCCTGGGTTGTGCTGCAGATGTGGGGAGGGTGGGACGGCTCCGCGCACCCGCTGCCTCAGCAGCACTCGCTGCTCCCAGCCAAATTTTTCAACTTTATTTAGGGGGAAGAAAGGATCACATGGGGAGGCTCACCGAGCTGGGAGGAGCGTGGCGGTGCAGAATCAGGTCACTCGCATAAAAACCCGGGAGTTAGTCACAGGCACAAAGATTAATAGTGTTAGCATAATCCAGGCAGAAAAAGCAGGCTGAGACAAAGACGAGAGGTGCTTACGGGATTTAAACGCTTCTGTTTTGCTCCCTTCTCTGTGTCATTAAGCAGGGTAATCTCTTGCTCCTTTTATCAGGTGAGTTTTCCTAATTGAGTAGGAAATAGAGCAGAATATAAAAGAAGTCTTTTTGGCTTCCAAATGATTTTGAGCACGTTCCTCTTGGCTGTCAATCTGGCATTTCCACAGGCTTTTTTTTTTCTTTTTTAATACCTCAAATGCTTGGTTTGTCTCTACCCTGCTGTGCTGTATCGATTTAGTCCCTGATAAATAGATGCTACGGACCCATTCCAAAACACCCTCGTGCCCACATAAAGCAGCCTAGGGTTGGATAATGATTTCTGACTCCAAGCTTTATTTTCTATCTCTAGCTCAGACAAAGGCAGGAAGGCTGCTGCCTGATCCCATATTGTCCCACTGGCTGAGAATGAAGTTTCTGCAGCGCCTTTTTCTGATCTGCCTGTCATTCATTAATAGATGGCAAAGCTCCCGACAGGAGCAGAGGTAAAACAAAAGCTGTCCCTCGGTGCCGAATTGCTGCTCGCTGCCAGGACTGCAGCAGGAAGAATCATGCGACTTTCAGTATCTTTGTTTCTCTAATCATCAGTTGCACATTCAAAAAGCCCATGATGGATTCAGGTTATTTAGAGGCCAAAACTCAAACGTGGGCTCCTAACTGTGGTTACGGAAAGACGTCTCTATCTTGTGAAGAAGTGGGCCTGACTTTTATAGGTGCTAAGCAACTGTTCTTCTGCATTCCCATCTGCCTTTACGTCACATCCCACCCTCTGCCACCTTCCTCGGTGTCCACGCTTTTTAAAAGGCATTAACTTGGGAAAGTAGGCTGCCTTGTTCTTTGCTTGCAGGAGCATCCTGCCCAAAAGAAGCCGGTCGTGTGATACCAGACAAAAGGAAAGCAGTAGCCAGGTGGGTTGCCACTGTGAAGGCACGACGCCCAACGTGTCCACTTACCATAGAGCCACAGGAGAGCTGGTCTGCTGCGCACCCAGAACTGACTGTCATCTAACGAGTGGCACCTGCCTACGGAGTAGGTATCCTTCCTCCAGTCTGCAAAAAAAAAAATTAGCCAGCTTTGGCATTTAAAGGCTGAAACAGGCAAAATGTTGATTCCTGGCAAGGTAATGAAGGGCTCAGTGCAGCCCGTAGGAGCCTCTGGACTGGAGGTGATATCCGTCAGGATATCACACCAAGAAAAGCAGCCTCGTGTCGGCATAAATCAAACTATGGAGCTCTGAATTCTGTGGTGTGCAGCGCAGTTCCCTGCTGTGTTAGCCTTAGGGTGCAGCTGAGGCTCCTTGCTCCCATTTCCCGTGCCCTGCCTGCTTATTGGGGGTCTCCTAAAGGAATTGGGGGAGTGCAGCTGCTGAGACTGGAGGAGAGAAGAATTGCAGTTGGTTCCTTTATAGGGCAAATCAATGGAGTGGAGGAAAAAGCACTTTACATCTTTACTATGATATAGATGTACTGAAAACGCAGCTTGAAACTGTCCCTGTGCTTTAAATTCAAAAATGGTGTATTTCTGAGCTAGCCTTGCAGAGAACCTGGGTTTTATTACCTGGAGATTGACCTCTGTGTATAATTTTCATTTCAGGTGGACAGACAATTGCTTTGCAACAGAGTTGTCATCCATTCTCTAAGGGTAGCTAGAGATATTTCCTTTGGTTTTATCCTTTAATAATTTCTCTGTTTTGCCAGATAGCAATGAAAAATAAGAAAACATGCCTAACAGGCTTCTACAGGTCTGGTTAGTCCTTATTTATATTTTCATCCCCCCAGTTATTTTTTTCTTACTGACTGAAGTTTTCTCTCATGTGTTTTAGAAAGCTTCCTTTTTTTATTTCTTTTTTACACACAGCTTCTTAGCGAATATCTTATGTCAGCTGGGAAAGCTATATATAAAATGTGTGTGTAAACGTACACAGAGCTTTCTCTCTCTCACATATACATATATATGCATGCACAGTCAATCAATATATATATATATAGATATATGCAAAGCCCAGGCAATACAAATTTCTACCACTTTGTATTAGTGCAAAGGTATCTTTTTCCTCTATTTTTATTTATATTTGACTTTCCCTAATATTTTTGCCTAGGAACTCATAAGTAAGCCAGTCTGGAATGTCTGAAAATGGTCCAATATATTTTAATGCTATATTGGGTCTTTTTTTCAGCTACTGGTCCTTAATCCTGTATGTCTCCTAAACTGAGATTTCTCACGCTGTCAGATTTAGCACTTCCTGAATCCTTTCTGCTTCCAGGCTTGGAACTGGTCAGAAGCTGTACCAGACATTATGAAGGCTGTAGCTCTGTCAGAGGGTTATTGACCACGTACAAGACCAGTATTTATGTGGTATAGCTCTGTCTCCTCCAGGAAAACACGTTTTCCAGGAAATCAGTGATTCAGTAAATACTTCCTGTCATGGTTAGGCCCACAGATCCAAGTCAGCAGTGATGTATAAACACCCAGCTCCTTCTGAGTTCAACAGGACTTAGGGCCAAAGTATCTCTGAACTTCTGTATCTCTTGGAGCTATCGGAGGTTCAGCGGAGCCATCAGAAAGGCCGCAAAATATTCTGACGGTAATTGAAGGGATAGGAGCAAAATGAACGTTTGTAACTCCTTGAGAACTTCTTCAAGCTTTGAAAAATGGCCCAAGGCTTCTCCCCCAGTCTGCAGTGCGATGCTCCTTATTCATCACTGCAAAGTCTCTGATGGCCCAGTCAGATTGTTGACATTTCCATTGCTGCTTCTATTTTAAATGTTATAATTAGTAATTTTTCATGCTTCCAGATTGTCCTTTCTCTTAGAAATTTAAACTACAGTGACAAATTGAAGCACATCAGATACCAGCATAATGGAGGTACCTGATACAAAGAGATTACTCCCAAGGTAATGTTTTCTCTCTTCCTACCTCCAGTGCTTATATTGTTGTCAAAGATCTCATTGTGGAGAGATTGAAATAAGACCATTACATGTAACAGGTCACCGTTTCACCTTGATGCAGTGCGAACGGATTTAGAACTGAGCAGGCAGACATTTAAAATTTTTATATTTATTATATATATATATTATTACAAGCAAAATTTCTCATTGAAGCCAGGCCATCAAATTCCTCTTCGTCTGATCAAGTTATAAACATTGACTGTAGTGGAAGAGCAAAGAGCAAAATTTATTACCAAACATAATGAAATGAATCTGCATTATGCAAAAAGTCTCAGTGCTTGTATTCAGTGCTTTCTTTTCGTGAGTCCAAACTAGGAAGTTTGATTTTATGAGGAGAGATAAAAATTTATTTAAAACCTCAGTTAACAGGCTGTTTCCTGGATGAGCGCGTAACGTAAAAATGGCATACCACGGTAAAGCTGAGGAAGTAAATTAGGAATTCCTAATTAATCATTAATTAACCATTTTTGGAGGGTAGGGAGAAACGCAGTGACATTGGAAGGCATCACAGATGGTATTATCGGAAGGAAATGATTCTGTGCGTAGCACGTTGTTCTGTAGAACTGGTTGGTGCAAACTTCCACTAAGGTTGAAAGCCTCAAAGGATTTCAGTGAAAGTGTCAGTGGTAACGTGGTAATGAGAGCATCCATAATTACAGGAATCTTTGTTGTGGCCTCCATTTGTAAGGTGCACGCTGCTTTGCAACTGGAAAGAGCAAAGTCCCTTTTGAGCAGGTTTCCTGTTCTGGCTGAAAGCGTTTTTAAAAGCGTCTGGAACCAACCAGTGTCAGGACGCTGGGCTACACAGACACGTTTGATCTGTGCTGTGATTTTAGTTTTCTTACCATGAAGCAGTTCTGGACTGTCCTCACTGCATTACGTTTCATGCCTACGAGGTGAGGAATAACTTTGGGTTTGGCAACAGCAGTATAAATCTAGGATTTGCCAGTGAGGTCAACTCCTGTGTATAGTCCTGGCCTAGCAGGTAAAGAGCCAACGCGTTTCTTCTACAGGATCAAAACTCTCCTGCAAACAGCTTGAATCACAGAGGACTGTTCTGGAAGTGTGCAATACAATAAGCACGCTCTGATGCACGCAGGATAGGTACATCTTTTCTCCCTCTGCTGTATTGCAAAGGTCAGAACTGTTAAAGAAGCTGTTGTGATCTCTGAAATGACTTGGAGAAATCCCAGAATAGATCTCTACCTTGTCACTTCTTGGATTTTCTTTTGTTGCCTGTCTTGCCTCCTGTGGAGTGCCGGTTAAATTTAACCACCAGCCGTGTCTCTGGACAATACCTCCCAGTCGTGAAGTAGAGGCTTGCTCTCGTCAGCGGACTTCTGTGTGCTATACATATCCCTCCCGTGTTTTGTTTCTTCTCCAGCTCCTCCTCTCTATTAAAATGGAAATAGAGAAGCTTTCAGAGCCTGAGAAGGCCGTGCTCAGCACTGGGCAGACCGAGGCTAACAGTTTTTCTCCTTCTCTTTCAGTAGGAGACTGGCAGCAGCTGCCCCCCACTGACGTTGCCTGGAAGCCCAGCTGGGAGGTGTTGTGGCCCGGCTCTTCTGCAGGACCACAGGAAAAGGGAGTTTGGTCAACTCCACCTCTCCGTTTCTTTATCTTGCTTCTACCCACCCATCTATTTGGAAATGAGGGTTTAACGTTTTGTCTTAATTAACAGAGGAGGAGCTTGTTGTATCTCTGGCACAGTCTCTAGAGGAAGGAGCTGTGCACTGATGGGTTTAGTGGTTGTTTTGTTGGCACCAGCTTGAGAGGAGCCCGGAGTTAGGGTACCGAGAATGCTCAAACCACTTTAATTCTCCTCTGCTTCTGGAGAGCAGCTGTGTGTTTGTATTCTGGTGTTCCTTGCATCATTTCTTTTGACGACTGAACTAGCTGTACCTGCTATTTGCTTCTACCCACAGCAACCCATGCCACCCTCCCAGCACATTTTTTCTTATGCTTCGGGGGCAGTCTGCAAACAGAAACTCTGTGTTTTCTGCTTCCTGTGCATCCGTCTCTGTCCTCCCTTCCCATGCCAAGCAATCTGTATGCCTTCCCTTAGCACTTGACTAATTATCGGTTAACTCTTCCATTCCTGAGTTTTCCCCAAGCTTTTTGCTTCAGCTCTGCTTTTCAATTGCAATTGGTCAGTAACAGTTTGCCAAACGTAACGCTGTCAGCTGTCCGTGTCTCCAGCTCTTTTGGTCTTTCCTTCTAAGGTATTAGTGCTTCTAGTCCTGAAGGGTGGAACTGAAAGCTGACAGTGGTAACGTTTGTCAACATTTTTTTCCCCCTCTATTAAAATTTATGCACGTTTGGCCAAGTTACACACACTGGCACAGTGCAGACAGTGAGTTGTTCTAAAAAGTTATTGTTAGCCTGTGAGGATCAATAGGCTGGTGTCCTACAACTTATGGCAAACAGCCTCCTTCCAAGGGCAGCTGGTTTAGTCGCTCTGAATTGACCGTAGAGGAACCAGCTCTCTCTGTGGGCAGCAACAGGAAGGTCAGGAAACTCGGTTTTCTAGAGCAACGTAGAGGCCTTGTGGACAGCCTGCCCTTGTGGACAGCTTTCATCTGCACTGCTTATTCTCTTCATAACCACGTCGCTGAGTCTCACTGTTAACACAGTTAAATGCAGTCGTGGAAAACTTGATTTAATTTCCGCCTTTACTACTGAGATCCTAATGCCAAGTTGCTGAAAATGAGATCTTTGTGAAGTGTTCATTAGCTGCATGTTCCCCATTTTCCGGATACTCAATTTAAGGTGATATCTGATTTGCAGCAGATCTGCATACTTAGGTCTTCAGCTGGAACTGAGGTTTCTGCATTTAAAGCACCGTATAATGTTAAGCGTGCTACAAAAAGAATGCTCTCATTTTCCAAATTGGATATCCACATTAATGAATGCTTTTACAACACAGAAACTTTCTAATCGCTTTTTCAACAGTGTATCCAGATAAAATGGAAGCGTTGGGACAATAAATTAATCAAAAATGTATTACTAATGCGTACCTTTAGAAAAGCCATGAATACATTTATCATGTGCTCTCAGAGTAGAGTTGGAGTTTGGTGAAACAAAGTGGGTTAAACTAAGCAGAGATGAAATGATCTTGTTCTATAATAAAGCACTCAATCAGGGAGCTGTTCAACTGTTTCTGAGTAACCCCCTGTGGAGGCAAGCCATCAGAAATGGGCTACGCGCTAAACAACAAGAAGAAAACAAATTCTGAAAAGCTGCTCATTAACGGAGAATCATCCACCCTTCACACTGAACGAGGCAAGGGTCCCCTGGAAAAAATAATGTGGTCATGTAAGTGAAGGCAGCAGCGCCCTGCATAACGCAAGAGATTCAAAGGAAGGTTGCGTTGGCAATTTTAATTCTGCAATTTCTTAACTTTCGTCTATTTGACTTAGCATTCTCTATAATGTTCTTTTAACTTGGAATATTGTGTGTAATATATATAAATGTTGTTTTTAAATAAAACTGGTTTGTCTCCAAGTCATGTCATTTTCACACTGCCTGCTGTCACCATTTCTAAAGGAGAAGCAGCTGGTGTGCTAAAAGAAGTTATGGACTTTGAAATCCTGCAAGGTTAGGAACTGAGTGGTTGGAGGGAGATATTTACAGAAGATGTCATCTTTTTTGGTCTGCTAGATTACTCCCACTGTTTTCTCCATTGTGTTTAATGGAGCAAAGCGTAAACATTTGCTGTGGGGTGTTTTGTGTCCATAGTCTGTGATTAACCCTAATAGGAGCTTGGTGGGGTTCCATGGTTGTGGTTTCCCTGTCCAGTGTTCTCGGTTCATAAACAGAAATTTGGGGTTCTTCTTAACTGTCAGCTGCAAGCTCAGTGTGGCATCTGAGAGCCAAACTGAGCTCTGCTGGCTCAAATGTTAGCAGCAGGAAAGATTCTGTAACCTGAATGTGGTTAACTGCTCTGTTTGTTGTGTTTGGACCAGAACAGAATCCAGTTCCCACTCGGATCGCTGCGCCGGCTCCATCATGAGAAACACAAAATACCCAAAGTGGATGGTGAGCATTACAGTGAGCAGGTGCCTGTTTGACTACAGAGCCCAGGGCTAGTAAGAAGAAAAAGCACAGGTTTCTCATTTACTTATTTGTTTATTTTACTTGTTTACAAAAGACATTTTAAGGCATCTCCTTAGTTACTTAAGGAAATTGTAATCTAGCAGTAGTTTTGTGTGTTCGTAGTTACATGAAATATAAATGTTCAGTTTCTGTTGCTGTTTCTCATCGTATTGCCACAAAAGAAAAGCAAATATATTTCTAACTCCTTGAGGAAGACCAGTAGATCCATTACCATAGTAAGGCATAAATAACGTTAGTTCTTTTAATGGATCTGCCATTTAATGGTCGTTGGGTATTCATTGTGTGCAGTGCTCAAAGAGCTCATTTAGGATTGCTTCTAGGAGTGGAATACAAGTTGACGAGGAGCAGGAAGAACCAGGAGGGAGCGTTTTGCCAAGCGCACTGCACTACCTAAAAGGTTTGCCTTTCTCTGCTATGGGTTTCATCATCTGCAATAACATATCCTAGAAACATAACTGGCTTTTAGACCAGCTGTGACGATGGGGGTATCATCGAGACAGTCTTCATTAGAATAGAATGAGAACTGGGTGATCAGTACAAAACTCAGCCTGTTAGGTGTAACAAATGCTACATAAATGCTTTTTAAGGTGTTCTTTGACCAATGTCACATATTTCCTGTGCTTTTGCTGGAGTGAATGTCTTGCATTTCTAGAAGTTAATACTCGATTGCTGCAGAAGACTTAGTTCTGAGCTCATAAGCTGGGGCACAGATTGTAGCTGGAAGGATGAGAAAATATGGCCCTAGAGATAACTTTTGAAAAGTCACAAATTGCATGTGCTATCTCGTTATGATATATGTGCATATTTATCAGGAGGAAGGTGACTCTTTGTAGGAAGAGATGTCATTCAGTGCTCGGTATCATTTCACTGGGTATTTAAAAGAAACTATCATGCATATTTATAAGTTACCAAAAAGGTTTTTCAATGGCTTCTGCCAGTGGCATTCAATCACAGTAGTGCTTAACAATCTTTTCCCAATTTTGGCTTTATTCTAGGCACACGTGGCATTAATGTTGAATTTGTCCGCCATGGAAGAGGAATTGGGTGAGGGCTCCAGACAGGACTTTAGAAACTGATTTAAAGTACCTGGTGAGATCATACTGCACTTTTATTGGGTTCTGTTAGCAATGCCATATTTGTATTAAAGGTCATTTAAGCCACAATACAATCTTACACCACATTTCTGTTGATATTTTTTTAGACAAGGGGTGCATTTTCATCACTGTCTTCCATCAGTCCTTAGGTGTAGAGCAAATGAGTTAACACTGAGTTTGCTTTCCTGGTCCAGAAGCTCCTTGCTGTAGGAGATTGCTGTAAGGTGAGTTACTGCCTCTTTGCCCTATCTAGCCTCTTGTGAAATGTGATTTTTCTCTGAATCCTTCTGAAACTGGATTTAAATTGGCCAGTGACTTCAGAAGTTCTTATCAGTGGGACAGTTCTAGGTGGGCATGTCATCGCCGAATGAAACAGGACTACAAATACAAAATGTTTGGACTAAGCCTTGCTGTTTGTAGGAATGAGAGGGGAGGAAGTCTGAATCCTGGGCTCTAGTTTATCTCAGCTCTGAACCTCCACGCTCCTTCTGCTACGTGATAAGTGAGCATAGTTAAAGTCGAATTTGTGGCCAGTTGTGTTGAGCTCTGTTACATGGTGTGTGGTGTGCTGCAGCAGGAAATTCCCGGTTTTAATTGACAGTAGTATCTATCTACCTGTGAACACAGCAAGTGTGATGAATTTTTGATCCGTTTCTGTTTTCTTTGTATTTATTTATTTATTTTTCTCTCCAGCAGTTGATCTGAAGCTGTTTAGGTATGGAGCTTTGATGGATTTTTATAGCCAAGTGCTAGATGTACCTTATATCTGCATAAGCCTTTGAATTTATGTTTGCATGTGGCTCAGTCTGTGTATTCACAATTTCCTCTTCACATGGAGGAAAAAAAAAAAAACAACTTCAAACCTATGCTGGTGGTGGTAACTTGTGAAAAGTGTTGCTGGCTCATTTGCGTATCTATCACTTGTTACATTTCACAGACCCTAGCGTTTCTCCCCCTTTCTGATTTATTCTGAAAAGCTTTGTTCCTACTGATCCACACACCAGATGCTACTGTATTTTCTGGATGTCTGAACTCTCCACTCAAAACCTGTCAAAGTCTTTTGTATAGCTATTACGTGCAGCTAACTGAAAAGTGGTATTTGTGTGCCATGTCACTCCATGGTATGATTTTTTTCTTTTTATTTTGCTAATAGAAGCTCTTACTGCAGTTGAATTTGTGCTGGAACAACAGGGTTTACACAGGAATAGCTACGTCAGGACTGCACAGGAGATTTCTGGTAACTGTGTCATCCAAGAACATGAGAAGATGTGTGATGCAGAAGCCCGTGTGTCAGCAAACCTAGGCTTTTTGTGGTGCGTGTTTTCCTCCAGCAGATAGTTTTATTTTATTTGTACAAAGTACAGCTTTACTGGGGCAGTTTCATTCGCTTTGGAGCTCTTCGCCAGCGAGGAAGACCGCAGTCCTACTGCGGTGAGGTAGTGCTAATGTGGGCCTGACCTTACGAGGGCTCCCTAGTGGATGCGTATTTAAACCTGAGAAATGAATCTGTACTTGAATCTGAACCTGAAGAATGGATCTGTTTGCTTTCTTTAATATTGCCAAGCTGCCAAGTTCTGCCAGAGGTGGAATTAGCACCAGCAAAAGGAGCCCTGGGCAGCTGGGGATTGCCCTGCGAGCCCCACCAAAGGATGCAATTGGCTGCTGTCAGCATCGCCTCCCTGGAAGGGTGTGAGGTTTAATGAATAGTTCTGGCTGTCGGTATGTAAGGTATTGCATTGTTCTGAGGAAAGATTTCTGGTAAGAGTCGACACAAAAATGAATGTAAATAATAAAGTATAGCACTGGAGTAAAGCCTTGCCAAGGAAAACTCCAGCAAACAACAGTCAGTGGTTTAAAAAGATCCTGTCGGAATGCCTCTTCTCCAAAGGCTGTTGTTCCAGCCTTCTGTTGTAGTGGCTTAAAGCTGTGTTAGAGCTAAGGCAGGCTTCGGCGTGGCAGAGCTGCTTAGGGCTGGTATTTCACACGCACAGTTTGTGCCTCAGCATCTGCTGAGCACCCAAACTGGACGCCCCAGAAGCACACCTCTCTGAACCCAAAGCAGCAGGCTCCCTGAGCAGCTAGGGCTCTCGCCGTGCTGCTCAGTGGCAAGAGGTATGAGCCTTAAGCAGTTTCAACTGCTGCTTCCTACTGGCCCCTCCGAATTAAATCGCTTGGCACAGTAATTGGCATGTCCTCACTGCCTGAAGCCTTAACGCTTTTAATGATGTCCAAACAAATTAGCTATTAAGCAAGTTATGAAGCAGCTCAGTGGGAACTGACTTGGGAAAGCTGGGGATCAAAGCATGAAGCTGTAAAATGAGTCCTGAAGTGCTAATAACTCCTAATAACTTTAAAAGAGAGAGAATTAAATTGTGGGAAGGTTGACTCTGACGTATTCTGATGATCTAAAGAGGAGCATGGTTGGGACGCATTGCTGGTTGTATTTTGACTGGAGGAAACTAGTGAGAGAGCATCAAACTAGCATGTGTGCTTTACAGGTGTTCAGAGATGAAAGAGAAGAACCAGTTAGGATGGATCTATTTTCTCCGCACAGCTCCCTGAGAGACAATGAAATGTGTTGTGCTTTTCTAAATGCCTGCTTGCCCTCAAGGTGCAGCACCGGGGGAATGAGATTGGAGCTGACCTTTCCCGAAGAGCAGCTGAACTTGGGCAGCAGCGGGTTTGCCTGGCTGTGTATGAGGACTCGGCTTGACCTGAACAACTCGAATCCTTAACAGTATGTGCAAAATGAGAATCCAGCTGGTTCCTTTGTCCTACCCGTTTAGAAAGGAGCATCCTCTTCTTATTTTCTCAGTAGATTTGATACAGTGCTCAAGGCACAAGACACACAAAACCTTTCTGTCCATCCCTCTCCTCTTCACGGCTGCCTCACAAACTGGTGTGGGTTTTCCCTTCCTACCTTTATTCTTCTTCATCTGCTTTCTTGTCCTTGCTCCCTCTAGTGTTCTCATGTTGGTGCTGTTTTGTTCTGCTCTAGGCCAGGAGATTTAGTATTAAACTGGTTTATTTTCCCTGCACTTTGCATAACGTGGGAATGACATCACCCCACCTGTCATGCCCTTCAAAAAGAAAAATAGCACTTAGTCCCCGCAACCTTACTTCACCTCCTTGTATCACCATAGCAGCCTGCCACTGCCAGCCTTTCACAAACCTGAAGGCCCACTTAAAATTCATTAGATTTTCAAAAATAAGCCTGTGTCTTTTCGATGATTTCTAAGCCTTTGATATATTCTCAGTTCACGGTTTTGGTATTTCTTCTAAAATTTTCTTTCAGATTCAAGGAGCTGG